TGAAACTTGAGGAAAACATGATAACGATCAGAGGAAAATGCTAGGAACAAACCATGCAAAATCTGTTGGAACATGGAGGAAACCGGAGTGGCTGCTAGGAACAAACTATGACGATGCAGTAAACATGTTGGAAAAAGACAGTGAAAGTGCAGGAAAATGCGATAACAACCAGAGGAAATGGTGCAAAAACGATCGGAAACTGAAGGAGACGGGTAAAACTCTTGGAAAAATATATTGAAAATGCATGAAATGCAGGAAACGAGAGGAAATGGTACAAAAAGCCATAGAGGAAAGCGGTGAAAATGGTAGGAAGCATGTAATTAAAAAAAAGCTGGACAAAACACAGTGAAAACCTACAAAAGAGAAGAAAGTAACCACAGGAAACGGTAGAAAAAGCAGTGGAAACTGGAAGAAAAGTTGTGACAATATTAGGAAAACGGTGTACAAGCTAGGAAATGCTTGGAACAACTAGAGGAAACGATGTAGAAAACAGTACAACATGGAGGACACGCGTGAACATGCTAGGAGGCATGTAACATGTTAGAAAAATACAGTGAAAACCTAGGAAAATGTTATAACTAAAAAATGCTTTAAAAAATATAGTGAAAACCAAGACAATTTCAACGAGCGGAAACGTTGAGCAGGAAATCCGATTTGGTTTCTGTAGATAATGTTAGATGATGAGCAATGTAGTTTGGTGATAGGAAATAGTGGCTGACTCGCGTACAAGACATTGCCATGAAACCTTGGAGCAAGATGCGGATGGTATAGGAAAAAGATGTATGAGTTGTAAGATTTTAGGAGTTGCATGGGAAAATTGGTTTCATGGTAATCTGTGTGAAGTTAGAAAAGTGTGATTTCGTTCACAGAGTAAGAAAAATAAATACAATCTGCAGATTAGAGTATTTATAATGCTTAAAGCTGTTTGACGTTTTTTTGGTGCCTCCCTGATTCTGGTAGTTTTGTGATAAGAACTACAAAAACGATCTACTGGTAAACGGAAGGAATAGTCTTTCCGGTTTAGAACTGAGTCGACTGTCAAGTGATGCATAGGCTCCAGGCCTCTGGTTATTGTCACAAAGCATTGGAATGAAGATTGCGCCCAGGAGCCACCTAGGTTAGGAGGCAAATGCTGTAATATCATTGTAAGAGGCCGTACTGAGAAGGCTGAAACAGAACTAAAAGTGAATCTTGTACTAAAACATCGAGAAAGAATTTGAATCTTCTAATGGCAATGACGTGTGCCTTTTAAAAGGGATGTTTGGCGAGTGTGATAGCTGAGAAGATTTTCCGGGATGCCAAACAATTATCTCTATCGATGTCAGGGATGATGCTATTCCGCGACATTTCCTGTAAAATCCCTATTTTCCAGCCCCTTGGGGGGGGGGGGGGGGTACCCAGGTCTGTAAATGGCCTAAATATATATACTTTTGATTTGGACTGCATGTTCGCCACTGTTCTATATTTCCCGTGGGTTTTGCATTGTTTTCCTCGATTTTCATTCGTTCTTATACCCTTTCTTACGTATGTTATAATATTGTCTTGGGTTTGCACTGCCCATTTTGCGAGTAGAGCTATGTTTTGATTTCTCACCGTACGGCCAAAATGTTGCGGAACTTCGCGGAGAAGCATGGACCACGCTGGGGAGAAAACAATTTAGACTTTGAGAGGTCACATGACCACTGTTCACACAAAAAAACGGGTATTATTTATCTACAATAGGTGGGAGCAAACTTGCGCTGTTTTAAGATAAATGAGCAACCAAAGGCGGATTTACGGAACTTGAGATAGAACTTTTCACAATGCCGCAGTACATTGTAGGAAACATATTGGATATAGAAATTACAAAATCTTGGAGTTTACCCGAAAAAGGTCCATTTAATGATTGGAAAATTATGACCCGATAGCAATTGTTGATGTTGGGGCGCTTCATGTTTGAGCCATGCCATATGGATGAGGTGGAGTTTCAGTTTCACGCGCCCCCGCGCGAGTCAAAAAGCAAGCGCTGGCTTTCGTTCCACCCCTTCTCAGGTATACATACATAAATTTATACATACGTACATACATACATACATACATACATTCACATGTGACACATGTTGTTTCTCTGGTAGATGGTGGATGAGTGTTTTATTGCCATGTACTCGTGTCTATGTGAATGTATACATACATGCGTACATGGTGGATGGGTATCCGGAAACAAAAGTCGGAGGTCTGACAAGACTTGGATTTCAGAGCTGGCACCCTTGTTCGCACGGCAACCAAACCAGCATCTCTGCATTGGGTATCCAAACAAAGCAACACTTGCTCTTTTAATCAAGATAAAGAATTAATCTAACATGTGTCAAGATTGCGTCCGTTTTTTTTTTTTCAGTTTTGTTCATTTTTCCAGTTCTATAAGTAAGTTATATCTGAGTTATATGTTTGTATATATATATATATATACCAGTAGTACCGCACAAGGCGGTGGCGGAAGTTTCAGAATAGGAAACCTATAGGAGACGTTGGTTGTTGTGAATCACGGATGGCAGGGCGAATCCACTGATTGACCGAAAGGTGGTTGGAGTTGTGTTTGCTGGAGTGTTTGCAATGGTTGCAGTGGTCACCTCACCCACAACTGCTAGATGTAGTATGATGTACTGCAACTGTAGTTGTAGTTGTAGCGTAGTGGAGTTGTAGTTGTGGTGTAATGTAATTAGTGTAGTGTAGTTGCAGTCATATAGTTGTAGCTGTAGTTGTTTTGTAGTTGTAGTTGTCGTGTAGTTGTAGTTGTAGTTGTTGTAGTTGTAGTTGTAGTTGTTGTAGTTGTAGCTGTAGTTGTTGCGTAGTTGTAGTTGTTGTGTAGTGCAGTTGTAGTTGTAGTTGTAGTTGTTGTAGTTGTAGTAGTAGTAGTAGTAGTAGTTGTTGTTGTTGTTGTTGTTGTTGGTGTAGTAGTAGTAGTAGTAGTAGTTGTAGTTGTTGTTGTTGCTGTTGTTGTAGTAGTAGTTGTTGTTATTGTTGTTGTTGTTGTAGCTGTTGTTGTTGTAGTTCTAGTTGTTGTTGTTGTGTAGTTGTAGTTGTAGTTGTTGTTGTTGTTGCTGCTGTTGTTGTTGTAGTTGTTGTAGTTGTAGCTGTAGTTGTTGTAGTTGTAGTCCTAGTTGTAGTTGTAGTTGTTGTGTAGTTGTAGTTGTTGTAGTTGTAGTTGTTGTGGTTGGTGTTGTTGCTGTTGCTGTGGTCGTCGGAGTTAGGGTAGTTAAGTTAGTTAAGTTAGTCAAGTTAGTTAAGTTAATCAGTGTCTACTTTTTCGACATCTTAACGTCAAAAAAGGCTCAAAACCCTCAGTTTTTTACACTTTTCACTTGGAAATGTGCTTCGCGCCACAACGGCGTGCACTTTTTCGACATCTGAACCTCCAAAAGTGGTCCGAGCATGGTGTGTTTTGTACATTTTGACTTGGAAATGTGCTTCGCGCCACAACGGCGTGCATCGCAACTTCCAAAAGTGGTCCGAGACCGCCAGTTTTTTAACACTTTTGACTTCGAAATGTGCTTCGCGCCACAACGGCGTGCACTTTTTTGACATCGCAACTTCCAAAAGTGGTCCGACCTGGTGTGTTTTGTACATTTTGACTTGGAAATGTGCTTCGCGCCACAACGGCGGGCACTTTTTTGACATCGCAACTTCCAAAGTGGTCCGACGCTGGTGTGCTTTGTACATTTTGACTTGGAAATGTGCTTCGCGCCACAACGCGTGCACTTTTTCGACATCGCAACTTCAAAAAGTGGTCCGAACCCTCAGTTTTTTAACACATTTTACTTGGAAATGTGCTTCGCGCCACAACGGCGTGCAATTTTTCATCTCTCATCTGGCCAGCTGGCTCCGCACCCGCCGCTTTAGCGAGCCTACTTTTTGATCCTCCGGAGCCACAAATCATTGGAAAAACACAGTGTTTCGCGACTTTCCTACCTTTTCGCGCATCTGTATCTTCTGTCTTCTTACTCTTTCTCTTCTGATCTTCTCTCTGCTAATCTTCCTCTTCTCTCTGCCTCTGCCCTGCTCTGCTTTTCATCTCTCCATATTGTCGGAAGTTTGACTTCTAAACTTCCTTCGATAATATATATATATATATATTAGCTGGTTTTAAGAACCGCCTGTGCAGTGACACATGAGAAATCTATTTCTATTCTTTTTCGTCAATTCTCAAAAGTTTTCTGCAATTCTTCAATTCTTTTCTCCAATTCTTCTGAATTTCTTCTACAATTCTTTTCAATTCTTTTGAATTTATTCTACAATTCTTTTCATTTTTTCAATTCTTTTCAGTTCTTTTGAATTTCTTCTACAATTCTCTTCAATTCCTCTGAATTTCTTCTACAATTCTTTTCAATTCTTTTGAATTTCTTCTACAATTCTTTTCATTTTTTTCAATTCTTTTCAATTCTTTTGAATTTCTTCTACAATTCTTTTCAATTCTTCTGAATTTCTTCTACAATTCTTTTCAATTCTTTTGAATTTCTTCTACAATTCTTTTCATTTTTCAATTCTTTTCAATTCTTTTGAATTTCTTCTACAATTCTTCCGCAATTCTCCCCAATTCTTTTTCATTTCTTCTCCACGTCTTTTCATCTTTTGAGTTTCCCTTACGATTCTTTCAAAATTTAAATTCCTTTCAACGATTGATATTTCACGTCTTCTACTATTCTGCTCAAGTTCTTTTCATTTTGGGAGAGCAATTCTTAGCACTTCATTTGAATTCTGTTCATTGTTTCTTTCCTTCCGCAATGGCAGTCTCATTGTATTCTTAACTTGTTTTGTTCTGGGCAAAACTGAGCCCTATGAATGCCAAATACCAATTACCTGCCCTGTTCGGTTGGTTGGTTCATTGCTCCTTGAGCGGGATCTCAAGTTTGACCGCAGTTGTTCAAGAGTTGATTTGGTGGGGCAGAGCATGCAAAGAAAGCCAGGGAACTTGCCGCAGCCATTTCGTGTTCAGGCAAGTAACTCAAGAAACCACTTGTTTAGCCATGGCGGATGAGGAGGATGATGATGGAATGGGTTTGGATGAGTTCCTGGACCTGTTGGATGAAGCGCAGCCAGGGGAACCAATTCGGAGACATGGCCTGCATCAAGGCCCGCAACAAGAAGGCCATCAGCCTGCCGTCGGTCAGCAGGGGCCTGTTCGGCCAGGGCCCTTGCCAGGCCAGCCTCGTAGGCAAGGCCGTCGGCCGGGACAAGGCAATCCGCCGGGACAAGGTCGTCGGCGGGGACAAGGCCGTCGGCCGGGCAGACAGCAGGCTGTGCAAAAAAGTCAGCTCAAAAAGCAAAGGTCATTAGACTTGCAAAGCACTGCCTTTAACGCATCTGGCCGTGGCAGGACGAAAGACCATTTGTTTCCACAGCATAAGACAGGACTTGCGCGTGCAAAGGTTCGAGGCAAAGGGGCTTGGAAAAAATGGACCCATGAGAGCATCATGCGATGCGGGTTTTCCTTTGAGACAGCTACTCATCGACAAGTAGCCGCTGAAGTGGATAGTGCTGGGCAAACGCATGCTGGCCAGTGTCGTTTTGTGTGCGCCCTGTCCATCTTGCAAGCGCAAGAAGAAGGGATGAAACGTTTGATCAACAGGAGCCCCAACTGGGTCATCAAGAATTTGATGTTTGATGAATCCAGCTTTGACCTGGCAGAGAGCAGACGCATGCCATTGGTGACCCATTCTGTGCTGCTGCCCCACGCGCAAATCACCGCCAAAATTGGTGATGAGGTTGTGTGCCACCATGCCCTCCGAGAACCACAAGTTTTGCTGCCTACCATGAACAGTGCAACTATGTGGGAGGCGCTTCGCGCGGGACCTGCTGGCTTTGCCTCGGATTTTCATCCTCCTGCCGCCCGTGGGTTGCAAGCTGTTTTGACGACGTGCGATGCGCACGCTGCTAACAGCAAATTGCTACAGCATGCCGCCTTCATGCAAGGTCCGGACGAATTACTGCTGCCTTGTTTGTGCACCCAGCACAGGATGGGCAACTGCTTGGAACGGCTTACCAAACATTTAGGTATTTTGGGTGGTGTGCAGCTTGGTTCATTGGTTCAGCAGTTAGCATTTTTGTTTAGGCATTGTTTATCAAGTTGTTTTAAAACTCAAAACTCCATGGCTTCGCAGGTATTGCGTGTCAAAGACGATGTCCAAAGGAAACATCTTAGCCAATGTCAGGAAGCGTGTCCGCCAGATCTTGCAAGAGAGGCTGGTGTTACACCGGGAAATCCCAGCTGCAGCAGCAGCGCAATGGGCAGAAGCAAAAGCCGATGCTGTCAAAACCGTGGCCCTGTGCAAAGATTTTGGTGAGGAAGATGAAGCGAAATCAGGTACCATTGCCTCATCCTTCAAGGCATTGCTGCAATTTTTCGACGGTCCTGGACAGGACTGATGGGCGGGAGAGTGCCGCATGCCATTGCAGCTGTTGAGGCCGCATGGTGGTACAAAAGGTATTTGTAATTAAGCAACTTAGCCAAGATGGAAACTCAAGCTTTGATGATGTTAGACTTTTCTTCAGTGGTTGATGTTGTTATCTATACTTCTGTTGAAATTAGGGGAAAACAGACAACTATAGTGCTGCAGAAGGTTTTTTGTAGTGGCATTCAGCACATTGGCTTGGTCAATGGTATCTAGGAGCAATTTAGTTCTGAGATTTGTTCGATTGTCATTTGAAGGGAGGTCGCTTTTTTTTGGGCCTTATTGTCCGTTTGTCGTGCATCCTAGGGTCGTTTGAGGTGCGTTTGAAGTTCATGTGATGGTCGGTAAAGATTTGGTTGAAGGTAGTTGGAAGGTCATTTCAGAATCGATTGCGCCTGATATTGAACAGCATTGAGGACATGATCCTACTTGAACTGGAGCTGGAGACCCCCAAGAAAAACCTTCCCCCATTCACATTGCTTTTGCAAAGCAACACGTTGGGACCAGAGTGGAAAACTGATGTGAGTTTGTGTGTGCAACTGGCCCGCGTTTCGGATGAGTGGTCCGTATCTGTTTGCAGTGTGGACAATGTAAGGCATTTGGCATTTGCTTAAATTTGAGGTATCCAGAACAGAGACCTTTCAAAAGGATGATTTGATCCGATTGGCCAAACAAATCAAAGAACAGCAAATGGCTGTAAGAGCAGCTGCGCTGGCCCGCGGCCCACGGCAGAGCAAAAAACGGAATCCCAGGGGGCCACGGAAACGGGTGCCCAAAAATGCTTCCAGGTTGCCTGGCAGCGACGTTTCCTCTGGCGAAGGGGAGCTGCATGAATGGCAACTGTTTGATGCTGGATCTGACAAATCTGAAGGTTCTGACTCAGAAGGGTTTTTTGAAGAGCAGGATGGTTCAGCTTTGGCTGGCTTAGAGGCAAACGCTGTCTCAGCGGGACCATGCGGGACCAGGTTGTCGTCCCCAACCTGCAGAAGCTGAAGCAGCAGTTGCACCGGCTGAACCGCCCCCAGAACCTGTTCGGCTATTTGTTGGTAAGCAACGACGTGGTGTGCCATGGGGCCCTTTCCAGATTGCTCCTATATATTCTAGGGGGTCCCACACAGGCTGGGGTGCGATTTGCAACCTTCACAAAGATCACTGTGGAGGCACAACTCAATGCAAAAAGGCTATCACCTTGAAACCCGAGCAAGGCATTGATGATGAGATTTGCGTGCTTCGCCTAAAACGATGGCTTTTAGCCGGGACTGACGACGCAGGGTGGCCGCAGCATTGTCTTAGGACGCACCATGTGTCGCTTGGCGGCAAGAGCTTGATTGCTTTTGCTGAAGGCAAGAGCGAAATAGAGATGGACCAGGAGATCCAACGAGCACAGTGACGCTCCTGACTAAGGGATTGGCCGTTGGCCATGGGGAAAGCAACCCCTGGGCTGTTGGCCGTCTTTGGCAGATGCCATTGGCGGATGCAGTTGCGCAGCAAAGGAAAAAGGATGTCCATTGCCATTGCCCATAACCTTGAGAAGATGTGGCTGCCTGCATCTGAAATTCTGGCTTTCTATGTAGTAGTATTATCTACTTTCGCTAAATCTTTCATAGACAGAAAACAGTAGAGAAAATCAACAAAAGAGAAGAAATAAATATAGAAATATTTGATTATTTCAAAGCATTATTACAGTTGAGGAAAATATGTTTTTAGTTAGAGAAAGTATGGTTTTAGTTAGAGAAAGTATGGTTTTAGTTAGAGAAAGTATGGTTTTAGTTAGAGAAAGTATGGTTTTAGTTAGAGAAAGTATGGTTTTAGTTAGAGAAAGTATGGTTTTAGTTAGAGAAAGTATGTTTTTAGTTAGAGAAACATATTTCTCATATATTTTTCGATATTTCCGTATTTTTCAAATATAGTTCCAAAAATACTTCAATTTCTTTTTTCAATAAATGCATTTGGAACAGAATGTTTTGCATTTTGGCACAGAATGTATTTCAAGAATCGTGTCGATGCAGATGCCTTGAATCAATCTCCATTCCTGAGTCTTTGGTTCCAATTCTCAATTCCTCACGTCTTGGTGTCTAGCCCGTTTGTAGTCTGCAGTGCCGTGCGCATGGCGGATGAAGACAACAGATCAGAGATGAACGGTGGCCCAGAGTCATTGCTTGGAGGAGCAGACGCGGTGAAAATTGTGTTCCACCTGTCGAAGGTCTGCCTATGTTGTTTGTGTGCGGCAAAGAGCACAGATGCCAGTCCGCTGAGCACTGCTTCATCCTTGGACCGGTGGTCAGGCAATCGCCCTTGGGGCAAGACAAGGACGGTCTTTGACCAGGTGTCTGGCAAGTCTGTTAAAGTGCCAGAAGGAAAGATTTGCTTGATTTGCCTCAAAACGGGTATTTGGTTTCTTGGACAGCAATTTTTGCCTGGTTTTGTTTCCTGCTTGTGTGTCGCTCATGCCTGTGATTTTGAGGCTTACGTGGATTCTCATCGACCTCTGATGATCCTTTTTGAAAATGTGGACACGATGGACGAGCCTGGTGGCAAGGAAGGCGGCGGCAGCGCGCTGGACTTATTCTTGGCTGAGATGTCTGACCGAGGCCTGGATTTGAATTTGAAATCTTTTGTTTTCCACGGAACGTTCAAACGTCAAAGAATCAAAGAGCGCTTGACGCGGAGGCTACGAGGGCCAAGCTGTGATGACGGACGCCCTTGAGTTTGGACTTCCTGCCCACCGAAGAAGATTGTATGTTTGGTTGATCCGGGCCCACGGCAACCCGCTTATCGATTTGGATTCCGAGAGGCCTTTGAGCCGGGTCTTTAAAACCTTTCGGGATCTGAGCTCTCTATGCCTGAGAGATGCACCGTGCGTGAAAGATGTTCTCTACAAAGGATTCAGCAAAGCGGTTGCCATGGATCTGGCTACTCGAAGGGAAAAACGAGAGAAGCAAACAGAAAAAGAGAAGGCAAAGATGGAGAAGAGCGGTGGTGAGCCAAAAGGGGACCAGTGGGTCGAATCGCACATGCAATTTGCCCAGTCCCACGAGTTGCGATGGGGTACCCCGGTCCCCCAGAGTTTGTCAGACAATCCATGGTACCAGCTCTTGACTTCCAGGGAGAAAGACCTTCTGTGGCTTTGCCAGCAGCAAATCCCTGATTATTTGTTCCGTGACATTTCCCAATCAGTTGCTCGAGGCAATGGTGCCAACAGTCTGCGCACATGTAAAGACAAACCTTGGCTTACTGGCAGACATGCAGCCCCAACACTTTTGCCCAAGCAATGCCTTTGGATTGAAGATGGCCAAGATTCCCGCATTATGTTGGGCCAAGAGTCTCTAATGCTGCAAGGCTTTCCAATCTTGCAATTCCTGAAGACCCTGCGGAAGCACAACAAGTTGGCTTTGAGCCGGGGCCAAGAGGTGTGGAAACCAGATCAAGCCTTAATGCAAGATTTGGCTGGCAACGCCATGGCTTTTCCAGTTCCTTTGGCGCTGCTGCAGGCCGCGCTGTGCGCTGTCAACTGGAGGGATCATGCGCGCGGAGCACAAGAGACCCCTTTGGCAGAGAGCCAGGACAGGCATTGGCTGTTGGTATTGTATAGCATTTTTTCTTTTTGGTTTTTGGCAGGTTTCCATTCTTCATGATCATATCATCTATCAGAAAACCGTCAGGATGTTGATGCTGCCTTGGCGGCCGTGTCAGCGCTGACAGAGACCATTGTTGATGAGCCCCGCCCGGCGTCTGGTGCTGTGTCATCGAGCCTTCAACAGAGACTCGCGCGGCGATTAGCGAGGCGGTCTTGAACCGGGTATATAGGTGCTCCAATACTGTCACTTTTCAACATTCAGACCTGGACACGCGCCTGCTGAAAAAAAACCTGTGCCGCTGCAGCGTTGAAGATGACAGGTTGTCAGGTTGAAGTTCAACATTTCACCGCTTCTTGTACAGGGGCACGGTCAGAGACAACAACACAGGCCCCAAGGAAAAGCACAAAATAATCCTGCCACTTCGAAACTTTTGTTGAAAGGAAAACAAAACAATGAACGTCATGTTCAAGGCCGGTGCTTGGTGAGGAGTCCTGGGTTCAAATAAATTCCTTATAGTTAGCTGTCCCGAAAAAGATGCCTTTTACACGGGAGCAATGGTATGAAATTCTTTTGTCGTTCGCCGATGACAAAGCTTGCCTCAGCTGCTACATGTGCCATATAGAGAAGTGGTTGACCAGGCTGGGGTGACAAAATTTCGATTTTGTTTTGACACGAAAACCAAGAAGATGAGACCCTGTAGGTCGGAAGCCAAACAGCTTCGGTGCATTTGCAGCAGTTGCGCTTGTGAGACGGCGAAGGCCTTCAGCCAGGGGGGGGAATAGACACGAGGTTTTGGCTGGACGCCGCTCTCCTTCCAGGAGGAACTTGGCCTTTGGCCGGGGCAAGCAAAAAAACCGCTCTGCGATTGACCGCGCGCGCTTGACTCAAAGTTTTTGGGTTGAGCATATGGTCAGCCTCAGGGCGTTGTCGTTTTGCGATGACCAACCCTGCAGGAGAAGGGGGGGGGAGGGTGTGGGGTGGGGGCAGGCTTCCCTACGTGGAAGCCTGCCGCAGGCTTCTAGTCGAACTGAAGCTTGCCACACTCACAGAGGCGGGCCAACACTTCTGCCTCGTTTTCGAAAACGTGCCTCTGTTGGTACAGACGCATGCAGGGGCCGTTGCGCCAGTCGCACCCGTACGATTGGCGAAGCAAAAAAAGCGTTGCAGACCGGGGAGATTGGGCATCGGATTTTGATGCGCAGGGTCCTAACTTCGTTTTGTTGCCAGCGACATTGTCACAGTTGCTTCTGGCTTTTCTTTGCTTACATCCAGCTTCCCATGCTAAACCATCCCAACTGGGCACTCAAAACGTAAACTCGAAAAACGTAAACTCGACGCAGAGGAAAGAAGTCAGAAACATGATTGCGTAAGAAGAGGCATGTGAAGGAAATGCCAAGAATAAGATGTGGTTGGAAAGAGCAACGAAACTGAAATGTTGAAAGGTGACAACAATGTGGACAACAATGAAGGAAGAAACGGCAGCAAACAACCATTTCAAAGAAATTGACAAGACCACTTTGACTTTAACAAAGCAAACGATCCCCAAGAGAAATTACAAACTTGAAAGAACATGAAAATAATTATCAACATTGCAAGAGTTAACGCAAACTGAAAATCAAGTCATGACAAGTTCAGAAAAATTAGAAAGAATTGGACAGAACTGTAGAAGAAATGAGAAAGAATTGAAAAGAATTGAAAAGAACTGTAGAAGAAAATAGAAAGAATTGAAAAGAATTGTAGAAGAAAATAGAAAGAATTGAAAAGAATTGTAGAAGAAATTAAAAAGAATTGAAAAGAATTGTAGAAGAAATTCGAAAGAATTGAAAAGAATTGAAAAGAATTGCAGAAGAAATTAGAAAGAATTGAAAAGAATTGTGGAAGAAATAAAAAAGAATTGAAAAGAATTGTAGAAGAAATTCAAAAGAATTGAAAAGAATTGGAAAGAATTGGAAAGATTAAGTCTATTGAATATAAACTCAATTAGAACAATGAAAACCATTACAATTCTTGTTAATTCTTGACATATTCCCGGGGACATAGGTTAGAGGCTTTCTAAAACCAGCCAATATATATATATATACACATATGGTTCTTACTTGTTCTTACAGTCCCTTGGTGAAGCTGAACTCCGTCGACTCCTCCAGGCGAAGAGGAAGCCCAGGAGAAGGACCGGCGCCGCATTGAGCGCGCCTTGGCCAAGGCGGCGGCCGAGAAGAAGCTGCCACACGCGGAGGCGCCCGCGGAGGCGCCCGCGGAGGCGCCCGCGGAGGCGCTCGAGACGCCTGTGGAGCCCATTGAGACGGCGGCGGAGATCCAGGACCTGAGATCCAGGATGAGAACGACTAGAGACCTCAGCAACCGACATGATGTGTTTTTTTCTTAATCAGCAAACAGTGCAGGATGAATCTCCTCAATGTTTTTGGGGAAGTTTGCTGGACTATTTTGTGGATCCAACATTTTAGCTTGAGGCTGGCGAGTTTCTCCTATTTTTCACAAGGAGCAGGGGGAAGAAGCAACCCCAAAAGACGAGCAGGCAGGGTCTGTCGAGTCTGTCCAAACTTGGGGGAGTCCTCCCCAAGTTGTGGCATGAGGAACCATATGAACCATATTGAAATGTGATTAGTTGCCACCAAAAAGTGGGCACACGTGCTTATGCGTGGGACTTTGTGTGCCGTGCCCGATTTTCAGTCAAACCCGCAAGGATCAAAATATCTAAGACACCCTGACCAAGTTTTTTTTGCTTGTAGTGCTGCCCACCGTCCGATTCGATCGGTTACATGTGCCCGTATATTGGTTGACACTTCTTGGTTGTAAATGTTGCACACAAATCAAGAACCAATATATAGTTCCATCATATTACAGTAATATAATTTAACATCATAATTATACGATCCAGTAGTTATATATACCGTATAAACATCTTAATATCATGATATACAGTAGTTATATCTTAATATCATAATATCATCTTAATATCATCTTAATATCTTTATATAATCGTATTATACAATCCAGTAGTTATACCTCAATATCATCATATCATCTTAATATCTTAATATCATCGTATTATACAATCCAGTAGTTATATCTTAATATCATGATATCATATAATATCATAATATCATACAGTATCATATACCCCTATCCTCCAAAAACTTCAACATCACCTCCCAGGTGCCCAGGACGGCCCTGCCCCAAATCCTGGAGCAAATGACTGGGCTGAAGGTGTTGGAAGCCTTAGCCGCAACAGGTGGGTCAAACAGCGCGGCTGAAGGTCGATTTGGGATGGTTCCATAAATGGGGGAACCCCAAAATGGATGGTTTATAAGGGAAAGTCCATCTATAGATGGATGATTTAATGGTAGCCCCATTTATGGAACCCCCCCATATCTGTACATACAATATTCTTCATGGAAATGATGTATCCCATTTCTACACGTTTTTTCTGACATCCCGCTTCTTTCTTTGGGATCCGGTATGATATTTGATTTATTGATTAGGTGATTAAACATGATGAAACATCAAGCATCACAATTTTCTAGTGTCATTGCCTCACATCCATGACGATCGGTTAAAGCCGTGTGCCAGGCATTCGGACCATCAGATACGCGAAGGACGGAGAAGTTTTCCTGCTTGAAATGCTTGGATTCTGGTAAGATGGCAAGTTTGCCACCTTTTGGGGGAAAAACCAGGTGTTTTTTTAGTTTCACTCGTTCCTCAACGTTGCTGGCGCTAGGAATTGCCGGTGGGTCCTGGTGGTGTGAAGCGAATCGTGGCAAATGATCTGGACGAAAATGCCGTGGCCAGGGCCTTGTGACGAAAGTTGATGACTCCGGGGATTTATTTTTTCCCTGTTGATTGAGGACTTGGATTTGTCAACAGATCTGAAAGTTGAGAAATCTTCGGGGATTGCAGTGTTATTCACTGTTTTTTTTGTTCGGTCGCGATTACAGATGTGATAAACTTGATAGGAATTCATTTCAGTGTGGATGATCTTCGGGATTGTTTTTTTTGTCCACTGCTTAATTGTACTGGCAGGCAAGACGAGCACTGCAGCTCTTGACCCCTTTTGTTTACATCCCTCATTGGATTCAAAACTTCAGGCAGTGATGAACCTTAGAAAACAACTGGGACTTCTGAAACGTCCCTGGCTACCACACTTGGCAGTCAACGTTGGCACTCTTCAAAGTCAGTGGCAGTTTTTCTTGCATAGTGTAACAAGCAGAGAAATTGGGAGCCAGACAGGCGGATGAGAATAAACTCCCGCTCTGCACGAGACCATACCTCCACACCACTGCTGAGGCGCATATGAAGCGAAACTTTGCTCACAATGATTTGAGCGGGGAGCGCGTTGAGGTGCTCCCAGATCCGTGTGTTGTGCACCGTGGATCGGGGAAGGGTCTAGTGAGTCTAGTGACTGCAGCCGTTGCAGGCGATCAATTCTTGCGCCAACGCTCACATGTGCGCCACTGGCCAATTGGACCTGTCCCAATCTATGGCCATTATGGCCATTGTGCCCAACACATCCAACACTTTGAGACAGCGCCAACTGCCAACATTTGCCAACTGATATTTTGGGAATCATCAAAATCAACTACATAAAAAAAGACATACATATTATATACCCATTAAAAACAAATCCTTGAAAGAAAAAGCAGTTGATATCCGGCCATATCAGGTACTCCAGACGCGCCAAGGGCCATGGCGGCTTGGGGCAACTGGCGTATGATGTCATCGATCTGGACCCCTACGGCTCGGTCTCGCCCTTTGTGGATGCAGCGGTACAGGCTGGGAGATGATGGAAATTGATGGAAACACATCCAAGGGGATTATAGGGGATTTACACCATTGTTTTTGGGTTACAAAAAATCCACTTTTTGGGGGTTAGATCATCTAACTTAGATGGGGGTTCCCCCAAAATTAGTCATGTTTAGATTGTTAGTTGTTGGCTAGGCCTTTGTGGACCCTGATGAGAATGTATCTGGGATGTGGAAAAGCTACTTTTTTACCTGATAGGGACACCTAGAAAAATGTGAACAACCAGTCTAGTAGCTGCCGGTCCATTTGTCTCAAAACTAGCTTTCCTAGACTGTGCAAAGTGATGTTGTTAGTGCCTTTGACTATCCACTCCAAACGGGGATTTGGGTTCCATGTGATGCTTTTGTTATACGGACTTGTATGTTTGGCCAGTCAACAGATCTTAATCCTCATCTAATGATATCTAGTGATCTAGTGTGCATGTACATGTAAACATACGAAGCATGAATCAACACCTGGCATGAGGTTTCTGTGGCCAGTGCCCCTGTCAGGCAGTATCAGATGGGGGACTTCTGTGTATTACCTCCACGGACATGCCAGTGCGGCTCCGAGGAGTCCCTGGGGTTTTCTGTTGGATTGCAGAATTAATTCGTTTCGGGAGAGTGGCAAACGAAACTTGACATTTGAATGGGCAATGCAGTGGTTTCTGGCAAAGTGGTTCTGAAATCAAGCTAGTGATTGAAATTGTTCACCGTTGTAGTTGCACCTTTCTTTTGATGTAAACAAAAATCCGGTGGGACGAATCCTCTTTCGGAACACCCGCCAGCCATGTCTGAGGTGCTTGGTGGGAACCACCCCGAGACTTGCTTCGCAAGGTGGGTCCCGCTGCAAGAGGATTGTGGTTGTTGTACCTTCACAACGGCGAGGTATGGTGGATCTGCATTGAAAGCCGGTTATGTTCGGAGCCTCAGTATGTTTGATGCGGAAGGGAGAGCTTGGTCACTGTCCAACAGACTATGCTTTCTGCCTGGGATTTTCAAAACATCCTTTTTCCATCAGTAGACCAAGAGTTGAAGACCTGAGGTGCATGAAATGGCTCTGCGTTTGGTTTTCATCTCAGCTCTGCATGGTAGGTCGACATTAGAATTTTGCCATGACAGATCTGCGATGGGTATCTGGGAAATTCTGGGAAATAGGGTTGATTGGCAGGGGTTCATTGGCAGTCGGGCTCATGTGCTGCGTCATGGACTTATGGGGCATCAAGCGTTTGTTCACGCTTGACTGTTCCATGATATCTCAGTCATTTTTGCTGCAATGATCTGAAATCTTCACTGTGTGATTTTTATCATGAGATTTTGGTTTAACATTGGAATAGGATGGTTCTCCTGGCCCTTTCCTGGTCATGAGGGGTTCATTTCAGGTCATCATTGGAGTGATCAACCCCAGTATCTTGTTGATGTTACCCGAATGATGGGGCCGATCATTTCCAACCAAAATCGAGATTTAACCGGAACCGGCTTCTTTGAGCTTTGTTTCGTTGATTCATGTTGATTCTAAATCCCGACTACCAACTACCTCTTCCCGATTTGTCGCACACATCAGACCTACCAGGTCTTACACTCATTCGCCAGTGCCGCTGCAAGATGTGGACGGGAGGTGCTTTTTCGGGTATAGTGGGGCAGCCAAAGCCTGTGGCTGGTTCGTTCAGATGCTTCATTTTGTGTCCAAGGACCTTGTGTCCTCCAAGTACGGACCATCGCTACGATTTCTGGGGTGTAAGATCTGCACTGCAAAGCTGCTATGTATACTGAGTATACTGCAAATCAGCGAACAGCTTTCCTGGGCCTCAACAAGAACTTTGTGGGGGGAGAAAAAAAACATGGATAACACTTCTGGTATTCTCCTTGAGGGGCGGGCCAGTCACACGCCAATTGGCACCTTACGCACCAGGTGATACCTTTGCTGTGTGCTTCGATTGATTTTTACGTCCCACACCCAAGGACCAGTCGCATCTCCGTGTTGGGAGGCAGCGAATTTTGCCAAAAGTCCTAGGCATTGTGCACACCAAAGGAAAGAACTTCGCATCCAGTCATCCAGATGTCAGGTTTACCATAGAGCATCTTTTCATTTGTTGACCGAACAGCACAACTCTTGGTGGCTGGTTTCAGACATTTTTTGTTGTTCAACCTTCCCGGGATTATGATCCCAATTGACTTCATCTTGTTTTGGGTTTCTATGTGTTGACATTCCCAGTACGTTTGATGATTTTCAGCGAATGTCCATACGCCGTTAGTTGTGGCTTGTTTTATATGACGAAGTGGTTGCAGCTCCTACGATTGGTCGTTGTAGAAGCAGCGCTCCATTTTTGGTGCTTCAACCACCGATGTGATCCGCAGCTCGCCATTGAGGTGAGACTTTTCGTGCGTGTCTATGACTCGCCACAGCGGGCAAAGTCCCGCGGCAGCAGGGAGGAACAGCTGGGAGATTTACCTCCAACTAATATTGGGATATAAACAAGAACAAATGGGATATGTTTTCTTGATTTGATGATATCTTATTAATTCTTATTATATGTCCCATGTGTTCATATCATTTCATATCCATATTACTGGTACTAATGCACGAAGTATATGAGGTATCAGATGTGGCTATAGCTCGAAATTACCTCATTTGGGGATTGTTCAAACAGAAATCACAGTGGGTCCATTGTACCCTGTTCTTTTGCCACACCCATACGGACATTGGAGAAATTTTAGCTAAATTATGATCAACTATGTGACAACTATGTGATGATATCCCCAAAATTGTCATTTTGATTAGCAAAATGCTGATACAGTAAACCATGAGCTGAGACGGGGCACCCCACTGTTAGAGACAAAGCCATCTGACGTCTCTGCTGCCCAGGAGACACGCGTCAAAGACAGCGATTGTGCACCAGTTGGGGTGTCCCAGTTGGGATGCTACAAGGAATTGGTTACAAGTTACAAGATACCAAGTTTCATACATAAAGCACAGTTGCATTTTGTATGTATATATGTATACAGTATACATATATGTATGTATGTATATATGAGCAGGGACCCCCACACCCCCCCCCAGCCAGATGGTTCCCCCCCCCCTGTGGCAGGGGAGGGGGGGTTTTCTCAGCAGCCAAGCCATGGTGTATGTAGTCTTTATAGTGCATATAATGCATATGTATGGATAATTAGAATGGATATACTATATGTAATATAGAGTGTATGTGTAGTGTATATATATATAAACATATATATATAATATGTAAGATATAAATAGAATATATGCAATATATATATATATATATTATAATATATATATTATATTATTATATATATATTTGACATACATATATATATATATTGAACATATTTATATATATATATACATACATCGTATATGTGGTTTTTGATAGAATATAGATAGTATATGCCACATGTACTGTATCCACAGTAGATGTAATATTTACAATATAGGTAAATATGTTTGTTGAATAAATTTTACATAGTATATGTGGTATATTGAATATCGACAGCAATACACGGTGTATATCTAGATTTTATGTATATATATGGATATATATATATGTATGCATATGTATATATATATGTACATATATATATACGTGTACAGTATGTACAATGTAAACGAAATATGTGATTGATACAAGATCAAGATATCAATATGTAGTATCTAGAATGTGCATCTATCTATATATATATATTTATTGTTTTTCCACTGTACATATGTCTAGGTTTGCATAGGCAAGCTTTGCGTAATCCATAGGTAGCAAATATGTTGTAAACCATGTGCGAGGCACGCTATAGGCGGTTCGAAAAAAAGGTTATGATAGAAATATACAGGTAGACAAGGTCCGTTGACGAGGTCGTGGCTCTCAAGTGCTGCAAATAACGTAGAGATGCGAGGTTGGAAGGGTGGAAAGGGGAGTATATATGTGTATATGTGTGTATATGTGCAAATAACATGCAAATACTAGGTTTTGGGGGGGTGGGGGGGTTAGGAGTGGGGGGGGGATACCATTGGGGGGGGGGGGGGTGGGGGGTCCGGGGACCGGGCTCATATATATATATATATATGTAAATACACAGATATAGATACACATAAAATTATAAAATATTATTTGTCATTTCGGGGAATTCATGACTTCGAACAAGCTAGAACTGGGATGGCCGTTGCGGTAGATCAATATTGTGATGGTTGAACCAACTGGTTAATTTCATCATAGTTGTCGGGTTCATAGCGGAACTTATAGGGGGTATTACCATGGTTATACCCATTATGTTGTAACCTCTAACCTCAGAGATTATGCTTTTGTGATTCATGAGTCTGTGTGGTGATATCAAATATTTGAAGCCACTGGATGAACTATTCAGGTCCTAGCAAGTCATTCATTATAACCTCAACCTCTCCCGCCCTGAGAATTGTGAGGTGCGTGCAATGCGATAGTTTCTTTACGCAAAAGTTCGGTGAGATAGAAGAGGGCAAGGACACTTCTGTTGAGTGCTTTTGACAACTTGAACAAGGTACCAGGTACAGCAGGGGGAAATGCACACACACAATATATATATAGTCATTATACTGCTAATGCAATGTAATGTAAACTAAACGAAAGCACCGTAATACAACACATAAGACAACATAAGAAAACACAAAACAACACAACACAAGACAACGCAAGACAACTCAAGACAAGACAAGACAACGCGACGCAACACAACACGTACATACGGTACCCGTGGAATACCACCCTCATATGTGAATCTGTCGTTGTTTATGAGGTGAGAGTTACTTGTCATAAGTTTGATTTGACAACCGAAAGCAAATCCATAAAACCAATGTCTGATACCCATTCGCTCGGCAAAGTCGACCGAATTCCAGACAGCGACAAGCTGAGTTGACAGCTAGTTGTCCGAATTTGAGATACACAATTGACACTGACCAATATGTAGCAGAGTTGCTTGCCGAATTGCGGATGCATGATTGGCAATTGATCAGTGCATCAGTGCTGTAGCTACTTGCCCGAGTTTCGGATGCACCTAGTTGTCCGAATTCCGGATGGACAATCGAAACAGAATCCGAATCACAACGTAAGCTAGTGATGCCCCCACTGACACATCCGAATTTCGGGTGGTACATAGACAGCATTGTTTATCACAGCAGGTTGGGCGCACCGACGGAAAACCTTCCTTGTTTGTCAAAACTGCAACATTTTTGTCGGAACCCGTGTGTAATTTTGGTCGAGGTAAGGAAGGTTTTGTCACGGGTAGGACCGTGTCTCGCCATGTACAATTTATAGTACACTTGTATCGCAAATCCCCAAAAGAAAACACAGAATTTAGCACCGTTATCCACAGTTTTAGTCAGCTTATGCTTTCTATTTTTTGAAATTGCTATAAATAAGGGACTTCGAAACTTTTGAAAGAATTAGTGTTTTCAACACTCATAGTGTATTGGGCTTGCGGCCAGCACTTTCATCTTTGCATGTTGTCTCAGGGTTACAACGCCAGGGTTGTCAATGCCTGGCATTGAATTTCAGGGATTTGTTCATTTCATTCGTGAAGGGGAAGCAACCAAGATGAAAAGACCAGCACCAAAGAGGCCAGCAAGCATGAAGTGCCCGCCCATCTAGATACTGCAGCATATAAATTGTTTATTTATATAGATCTATCTATCCATCCATCCATCTATCCATCCATGCATCTATCGTTTAAAATGGTTTAGCCAACATTACTTTTCGTTTCGCCAGGAGAAGTTCCGTGTGGCCAAAGTCACCTGCCCAGGTAGCGAGTGTCCGGAGTGGGGGGCCTCGATTCTTCGGCAGATATTTGGTCCACGAAAAATGGGGACTTCATCTGGTTCAGTATGAATTTAGTATGGTGAAGTAGGGATAATTACTAATAATAACATATAATAACAACAAAATCAACCAATAGGGATTTGTTTATAAAGTTTTTTCTGTTTTGAACATTTTTCTGGCATTTTGATTGACTCAAGCAAGAGGCAGGATTTTTCACCAATAGTTTACCGCTTGGTGGTATAAATTATATACCCATCAAATGATTGATCAAACAAACAATGAAGTGGGGTTTAGCCAGCAACAAAATTCAATCATTGGGGAGCGATGGGGATATCCCCACGAAACAAACTCTCGGATAACTCGAGTCAACAAACATCATCGGAAATCACCGTGAACATACGGGTTTTAGCACAATTTAACTGGTTGGGAGTTTCATTTTCTCTTTCACCTAAGAATAAGATGATGATCCTGTTTGAATTTTATATTTTTTTCGGGGGTTGACACCACCAACCAATCAAAACATATTTTTGATTTTCTCAATGAAGGTTGGTCGTATACGGTCATATCCACCATTAGTTTCAGTTTTCAGCTACATTCGTGCTGTGAAATTCGGTCATATCCCCCAAACATGTTGCATGTGTCAAATTTATTCACAATTTGGTTTGGGTAGTCATATCCACATTTTTATGAATAAGACTTGGTCACATCTTCCATGAACAACGTTTTTGTTTGATAAAAGGTTCTTTGTAGGATGTCACACACTGCCATCTCCTTAGTACATGTTTCCAATAGGGACCGACGGTTGGAATGATGCAACATGCAGAAACCAAGGGGTTGATGTTCATTTTGAACAGACGACCCTGTACTACATCCATTAGAGTTGGAATGATCCTTTTGGTTTCGCGTCCTAGTTTAGATATGTTTTTCTTAGAAAAGTTTTGATACCCCCAAGATCCTATGGTTGATGACCATTTTCCCCTCTATCAATTGCCATAAAAATGAGGCTTAACCCATTATTGGACCATTATTGGACAAACCCAATTGTTTGTTTTCTCATCTTCATTTTCTGCGGTGTTTGGCTAAGGTGTGGAGGCCGTTTGAAAGTCGGAGGCACCTGGGCTGCAGGTCAATTCTGATGGCCAGGATCAACCAAACTGCAGCGATGTACTCTGCATCAAATTTGGCAGCAAAAAAGAGGCAAGTAAACCTATATAAAATATATGTACATAGACATAGACATGCATACTGCATACATGTACATGCATATGATGAACACATGTAACATGTTTTTTGCAAGTCTTCCAATTAGGTGAATGCAATTGATGCAACCTGGGGTTAGTGCGGATCCTGGCATCAGACTCCAACTTGCCAGGCCCATTTCATTCTGGTCCCCTGTACGACACAGACTTCGTTCAGCGATGCCTCCAGGTGAGCTCCAGTGGCGGCGTAATGGGAAAATCACCTGCAACATGACGTGAGAAACATCCGTGGAAGTGGACATGGCTTTCTTTTGATAGTAAGGTCATCTTTGAAAGGGGCCAGTTTCCGGTTGCTATGCTTGTTTCAGGTAGGATGATGGGCATCAGGGGTACCATGGCTAGTGTCGTTCAGGTTAGCACTGCGAGTGAACTGGCTTAGGGCCACCACTACCTGGGAAACATGTAATTCTCAAATGGGGTTTCAAAATTTGCAACTCCAAAAATCATCAAAACTCCCATGGCTTATTATCAATCATCATGGTAGATAGTAGATATCCCAGCTTTGGTCGTTTCATCTTGTTTCATCTGTGATTACTCAGCAAGCCAGACTACCTGCGGCTTGGAGATCTGCCACCTGCCAGAGGTGTGTACGCCGGAGAACATGTCGACGCTTCCGGGAGTAACGAGTCAGAGTCCAAGCTCGGCTCCGTAGAGTTCACCAGGTCGATCATTTCAGACAGATCGACAGATCTGTTCTCTCTTTCTCTCTCTGTCAAAATTGGTTTCCCCAGCATTTTCTGTTCAGTTTCTCTCCCGAACTTCTCCATCTTTCAGCTGGATTTTTGGGTGGATTCGAGTCTATTTGAGGCTGGAAGAAGATCACAGGACTCTTAACGGCCATGAAAGAAGAGAATGACGACGCCTGGATGCTCGCGATGGCAATGGATGCTGGCTGCTGGCATTTGGGGTAACCTTTTCCAATGCTTCAAGAGGAAAATCATCTTTCCAGAATGGGTTCAAGAAATTGACTCGAAATCTCTGTATTTGGATATTTTGGATGGCTACCTTAAAAATCAATGGATGCTTGCTTTGAATCAACCCAGTCTGCCAGTCACCTTTGATGACATCTGCAATATTTGTGGTGATTCTGCAGCTCGCAAGAAACTTCCAGGAGCACCTGCTCCTGAGGATAGGCACAACATGGCGCAGCGGCACAAATGGATGCTATATCATCACAATTCGATGCAACAAGAAAGTGTCAACGACCAAGGTAAGAGACATGTCACAGTGCCACACAACATATTTCCACTATGACTTATGAATACTTATGATTTTGATATATTTTGATAGTCATCATGATTCATGATTTTTATACCATTAAAACTGCTGTTTTCCACATCTTCACAGTCCAGATGCGACCAATGGGGGCCACCATGGGTGCTGCCTGTGCCGAGTGTTGCGCCGAGTCGCGCGGCCGTGTGGCGGTCCGTGTGGTGCGCTTCGTGCTGCCGGATGAGGAAGGCTGATTCCAACCTGGGAAACTAGGTTTAATCAACAAAGAATGATGATTGAGATGGGAGTTCAATGGGATACCACCAAACATGGCGAATCCATTGAGTTCTTAGATGAAAATCTCACCAAAAACTGGGTTCCCATGATTTTCACCAACAGAAATGCTGATTTTCGGGTGAGTTCATGGGATTAAAACTTATGGGGATGACCATGCAACATGCATGGATCCCAGCGAGATTTTTTGTTGATCTTCGGGATGCAGGGTTTTGATCCATCCAAACGGGCATTTCACAAGCAAACAAGGGGGATTTAACCTATATATATAATATATATATATGTAAACAGATGGGATTGTATGGAATTAGCCAACTACTAGTAGAAATGGGATATGCAATCAACAGACATCGGCATGTACGAAACAGAAGATTGAGATTTCACCTGTGAGAAACAGAGCTTTACCAATTTGATTTGGAAAAAAACACATGACTCATTTTGAGAATCCACAGTTTTCGAAGAGAATCCACTAATTCAAGGTGGCACCTAAAGAGCTGGCGCCAATTTCACGAAATTATCAGGCGGGAATTTGAGGGATTTGCCGGTCAGGCGGCATGAAGACCTCGCAGAAGTTGGATGTACTGCGCACTTCCATCTTGGAACATTCCAAGTGCCACTCGGCTGGAACTGGTAAGGCATGGCTAGTCATCAAGCTTCATATGTTGTGAGCATGGGCTAGGCGGGAAAGAGATGTAGAGACAAGAGCATCTCCCAGTATGTATGCACATATGTATATATGATATATGTATATATATATATGTATATATATATATATGTATATATGTATATATGTATATATGTATATATGTATATATGTATATATGTATATGTATATGTATATGCATATGTATATGTATATGTCTATGTATGTATATATATATATATATCTATGTATAGGTATATATCTATATGTATATGTATATGTGTATATGATATATCTATATGTATATGTATGTATCTATATGTATATATCTATATGTAAATATTTATATGTAGATATCTATATGTGTCTATCTATATGTGTCTATCTATGTGTATATATCTATATGTATATAAATGTCTATGTATATAAATGTCTATGTATATAAATCTATACGTATCTGTGTATCTATGTATCTATCTATGTATCTATCTATCTATCTATCTATGTATCTATCTATGTATCTATCTATGTATCTATGTACCTATCTATGTATCCATGTATCTATGTATCCATGTATCTATGTATCTATGTATCTATCTATGTATCTATCTATGTATCTATCTATGTATCTATCTATGTATCTATCTATGTATCTATCTATGTATCTATCTATGTCTCTATCTATGTCTCTATCTATGTATCTATCTATGTATCTATCTATGTATCTATCTATCTATCCATCTATCTATCTATCTATCGATCTATCTATCTATCTATCTATCTATCTAATCTATCTATCTATCTATGTATCTATCTAAATATCTATGCATCTATCTCTGTATCTATGTATCTATGTATCTATCTATCAACCTATCTATCTGTATATCTATCTATCTATCTATCTATCTATTTATCTATCTATCTATCTATCTATCTATCTAATCTATCTATCTATGTATCTATCTAAATATCTATGCATCTATCTCTGTATCTATGTATCTATGTATCTATCTATCAACCTATCTATCTATCTATCTATCTATCTATCTATCTATCTAATCTATCTATCTATCTATGTATCTATCTAAATATCTATGCATCTATCTCTGTATCTATGTATCTATGTATCTATCTATCAACCTATCTATCTGTATATCTATCTGTATATCTATCTATCTATCTATTTAATCTATTTAATCTATTTAATCTATTTAATCTATTTAATCTATTTAATTAATATGTTTAATTTATCTAAACTACTGATCTGTCTAATCTATTTATCTATCTAATCTATCTAATATATTGATCTATCTAATCTGTTAATCTATCTAATCTATCTAATCTATCTAATCTATCTAATCTATCTAATCTATCTAATCTAACTAATCTAACTAATCTATCTAATCTATCTAATCTATCTAATCTATCTAATCTATCTAATCTAACTAATCTATCTAATCTATCTAATCTATTCATCTATCTAATCTATCTATCTAATCTATCTATCTAATCTATCCAATCTATCTAATCTAATCTAATCTAGTCTAGTCTAATCTAATCTAATCTAATCTAATCTATCTATGTATCTATCTATCTATCTATCTTTCTATCCATTAATCTATCTATCTAATCTATCTGATCTATCTTATCCTATCTATCTTATCCTATCTATCTTATCCTATCTATCTTATCCTATCTGTCTTATCCTATCTATCTTATCCTATATATCTTATTCGATCCTATCTTATCCTATACTATTTTATCCTATCCTATCCTATCTTATCCTATCCTATCTTATCCTATCCTATCTTATCCTATCTATCTTATCCTATCTATCTTATCCTATCTATCTTATCCTATCTATCTTATCATATCTATCTTATCATATCTATCTTATCATATCTATCTTATCTATCTATCTTATCTATCTATCTTATCTATCTTATCTATCTTATCTATCTTTCTATCTATCTATCTATCTATCTATCTGTCTATATATCTATCTATCTATCTATCTATCTATCTATCTATCCATCCATCGATCTATCTATCTATCTATCTATCTATCTATCTATCTATCTATCTATCTATCTATGGCAGATGCAGTCCAAAGTATTTGGCCATCCAAATGGATCATCCAAATAGATGTTTAATCCATCTATCTTCTTCAGATCCAATAGCGCGTCAGATTCGGAGTTGGGAAAACGCCACCCCTCACAGCGTTGATATTCGAACTGAATGGGTAGATTCAGCTCACGTGAAAATATGCTGACTCCACTCTGAATCCACAAATATTTGCCTGAGGTGTGCGAGAGATTTCTCAAGGTACTAGATGAGGCTGGTGTGACTTTGATTTGCAAACATGATGACCCTCCGGCGATCAAACATGGCTAGCTGGGAAGTACAGCTGGGAAATCCACTACAAATGGGCCTTCAATGGGAATATCACTATAAATGGGGGATTTTCAAGCAAGCCATGTTTGACCGGAGGGTCAACATCAGGAAGATTTCACAAAGTCTCGCACCTGGAGGGGTCAGCGCGAAGCTACTCACCTTGGATGGTGAATCGCTCCCAGCAGCTCAGCTCAAGCACTTGCTGTCAACTGTTGGAGCTGTTGGAGCTGTTGGAGCTGTTGGAACACATGGGACTTTCATGGACTTTGGGCATATGGAGGAGGTCAAGCAAAGTCAGTGTTTTTTTTTAAATCAGCAATTGCTTGAGCAAAACATCATACAAATTCTTGTCCACAGCAGCAAGTTCTTGTCCGAAAGGGGCAGTAGAACATCCCGCTTTGTAGCTGGAAAGGGTTCACCAGGTGAGATGTTGCAAACTTCCATTTGTATCCATTTGCCTCTTGGTTGCAGATCAGCAACAGGATTCATCTGGTCGGCAGTCAGGATACCAATGGAGTTGAGGGTCCACAGAGACATGACCGGATTCAATATAGGGGTTTCCATACCCAAAAATGAAGTGTTTACAGTGGAAAATCCTTCTAAAATGGATGATTTTGGGACCCCCATTTTAGGAAGCCCCCATTTTTGTTTCAATATGATCTCCAGATTTCTTCCACAGGACTTTGACCACTTGGGGTGGGAGAACCGACTGAAGCGTGTGGCCGGCGTAGCCGGCATCCGGAGCCCGATCATTCCGAGGAATCCGCTGCTATGGGAGGCGACCCTGGAACTTGGTGGAAAAGGGCGTGCTGCGAAACTGGGGGGTCAATCGGGGTCAATGGATTGATTTTGGGGAAAACATGGCAATCTTGGAACCAAATGCAGGGCTGTACAGCAACATCAAAATTCATTCATAGCCGCATAGCCATTCCATGTGTGGGGAGTCAGTGAGGCCTTGTTCTACAAGCTGCCGAACCTCTGCAAATCGCTTAAGGTGAATCAGGCAAGGTCCCAGAGTTCACTCTATTGCTGATGAAGTTCGTCATTTTGGGATTTCCCAAAATGGGAGTGACCCCTGAGAATCTACCACGACAATTTATTAAATTGGCAAAACTTGGCTCTATCTTGGTTGGAAGACATCGTTTGTTGGGGGTCCCCCGTTCTTTAAAGTCTGGCAATGGACTTCCCAGCCTGGCAGGTGCCACTGCGACAATTCCGTGGCACCCTCACATCCCTAGGCAACGCTAACTGCGGTGGCTGCATGTTGCGAGGATACAATGGCAGTGGAGCTGTGATGTAGTTGGAGTTGGAATGAGATTCACTACAAGATCCCAGGAATACAGATTTCATCAGATTCCTCTCTCTGTCTCTCTATATAATACACACATATATATATATGTATAGATTTAGTCAACCGCCAACCGCAAACCAAAAAAAAGCCAAACGATAGGAAAGGAGAAAAAACACCACCAGTTTTGAGGTTCGTGGCACTGGGCAAACCAGACTACACTCGATCAGCTATGACAGCCCCAGCTCTTGGATTTGATGCGCAGGCTATCGAGTCTCACACTTCCATCGAGAACCACAGGCGCTTGGGTCAGGTTGCGAGCAGTGTCAACTCACACTTTCCGCTGACTCTGGGAGGCCTGCCAGCAAAATTTTGGGTGGATCAATATCTATGGGATGATTGTGTGGTGTTCGTCCATCCAGATATCGCTATTTGGATGGTGGAACAGCAGGCTGACAGCGAGAAAAGATTTCACATCCTGAGGGATCCGCAGCCATTTTTACCCTCAGATCTGAAGTCCCTTCGCGCCCGGCGAAATATGCAGCAAGTGGAGCGAGGATGTTTGCCCTGCACCAATTGCATGGTGACTGTGCCACAGGATAAGCATCTTGCCAGTGGTGGGGCTGGGGCTCGCTGCTTTGCTTTTTTTTGCTTCAGAACCTTCACACTCCAAGTCGTGGTCAAATTTGAGACCCGAGTCGAAACGTTTTGGAATATCAAGCCATCAAATGGTGCTTGAATCTGCTTGAATAGTTTTGACCCATGCGCATTGTCGGTTCCCAAGGCCAGGTTTGGCCAGGCAGCCGCTCATTGGGCCCATACAATAATCATGTAAGCATGTGTGTATCTCAACAAGAACGTGCAGAAAAAAGAACACCAGTAACAAGCGTTTCCTAGATGTTCCAAGTTTCAACCATTGGATCCAAATGGCCAGAATTCATTGGAGTTTGGGGGTTTCCCAACATTTTTGCCACCCAAATCTCGACCCCAGGCCCTCCATTGACACCCCAGGTACTATGCCGTGGAAAAGTTCGGGAAATTTTCGCACATGTTGAAGCCAGGTTTGGCCACAGTGGGCTTGGACTGCTGCGGCGCATGCGTGTCCTTCCGGTCGATCACTTCACGAACGGAGCAGAATATGGTGAGTGTTTCCACCAAGACGAAGGACGCACGGACGGTGGTTTTTCAATGGATGAAACTGGCTTCCGAATGGTGGATTGATATGGATTGATTATCCATATATATATATACATATATACATATACATATATATATATACATATATATATATACATATATATATATATTATCCATGATAATACTATTCTAATCTGAAGAAAATGGTGATTGACCAATGGATGACCCGTTGGAATGGCAACCCCGAGGGAAAATTATGATGATCTTCCTGGAGCAGTGGCAGGTCGCCCTGGGCGTTGGACCCCCCAAAGTTCCAAGTTGGAAGCTAGGGATGGGTCATGATGGGTCAAAGTTATCGATTTTTTGCCCCAAGGTGGATCTTCAAAATTGAATCACATGAAAATCACATGAAAATAACATGAAAATCACATGAAAATCACATGAAAATCACATGAAAATCACATGAACATTTCACCAGATTTTTTCGTTCCCACATGGACCCCTGGCTGACTTGAGCCTTATGCTGGTGCACTGAAATCCGAAGGACAACGTCTTTGTGCATGTGAAGGTGGCAGTGCAGCAGTCTGTGATGCCGGAATCTACTGAGCTTGTCCCTTGACTTTGGAGATCTTTGAAGTCTGGTGGCTATATGGATATATGGATATTTGGATATTTGCATATCATGAATCAATCAATTCGGACCTTTGTGTTCTCCAATTGTGGTGACTTATATAACCAAGAGATACCAAGAGATTTCGGTCGTTTTTCCAATTCAACCATTCAATTTGACATGTGAGCTGGGTGCCGAACCATTATTTGGAAGGACTGAAATCGACAGAAAAGTTCTCAAAATGATTCATCCTCAAATTCAAAGCGGTCTTTTAGGTTTTGCAGCCAGCTGTGTGTGGTTTGGTACCCCATTGATGTGGGAAGGTTTACCCATCATCCAATGGTCCAAGGCGATGTACAAGCTGGACAACGTGCACGCGCAGATTGAGTCCTATGTGGCGGACGTGGTACGTTCCGACCTTTGGGGTGCGGAGATGTTTTTTTTTCGCATCTGTCGGGAATATGATACTATCTATAGCAACCTTCCAAAAGAAGTAAAAATAAGAATTTACCACTACTACAGTAGAATTTCACTTTGCTATCTTTTGGGGAGTTACTGTTGCTGTAATTAATGATATACAAAAGTGGTGCTGCAACAAATGGGACACGGAGATAGGTCGAAGTCGTAGAATTTGGAGCGCTGAGCTACTAGAATTGGCGAGCCATTTCGCGGATGACAAATTCGCTTCTTTCAGATTTTGTAAGGGTTGGAAGCTGCAGATAGTGCAACTACTGGGTGTAGGTAGGCCACAGCTCTTGGTTCTTTGTGGCACCCAGGTTCCTTCATCCCGCAAATGACCTTGGACGAGTCCTTCGAAAAGAAGGTCCCGGATGCCCTTGTCCACTAAGAAGGGTACCCAACATCACTGTTACCACTGGGTGTCACATTTCGGTCAGGATTGTCTTTCATCCCAACTTACAGCCAGTTCAGAGGTTCCCCAGTTTCCAGTGGAAGTTCCCCAGTTTCGTTCCCCAGTTTCCAGATGTTTCCAGGACGACATCTCTGACGCAGTACAGAAGAAGCTCTCCACAGAAATGGCGGCGTTTGGTTTCGCCATCAACAAGGCCTTGGTCACTGAGGTCTCCCCCAACGCCGAGGCGCCCAAACAATACCGCTGGCGCCCAAATCATGGTGAAATGGCCATGATGCGTGATGGAAAAAATGGAAAAAGCACAGAATTATGTTAGATGATGTTGGTCTATGTTGGTTTTCATCCAAAATCGTCCAAGTGATCTCATGAATTTCATTGTCAGTATTCAAAGTCCCATTTTTGTTGGTCCCCCAAGGCTTGGCCTCGCCGCTTCAGGTGGTGGCCTCCATGAATGAGATCAACAAGCAGAAGCGCTTGCGCGATGCATCACAGATGGCAGCTGAAGCTGAGAAGATTAAGGCGACCCCGGTGACCCCGGGCTGGGGGGGAACGGGGTGGGATTGGGAAGGGGGTGAGGGGGGGTTGGGGGAATCAGCTAAGTCAGTTGTTTGGAAAATTGCTGGGATTGGAGCAACAACAAATGACGGATGATGACTCAAAAATGGGAAAAGGATGGGGAAGGAATGGATCTTAGATTAATCTCTCAAAATCACCTTCGGTCAATCTGGTCATGGTGTTGGGTCAACCAGCCTGGCTGCTGGAAAATACGAAGAGGTCTTGTTTAATTTTCAGAATTGTTTCCTTTGTTCTTGGTTCTCACTTCGGTAAATTTCCACCCAAGGTACCCGACAAGTTGCATGATTTCATATACCTGACAGGTACACTGGTACCTGGCAGTCATGTTTTCAATATACCATAATATACCTGATTATATTATATATACACACTAGAACATAGTGGTCATATCCCTTTGTCGCTGCAGGTCAATTTCATTCTGCTGTTGCTGATTCCATCATTGGATCCCCGATTCTCTAGGTTGACCCCCCCATCATTGTTGGTGAGATCCTCATGGTTGGTAAGTGTCTCATGGTGAGATCCAAAAGTCCTTTTTACTTGGAAGATCTTGGACGTGCATCCCTGTAAGTTGTAAGACCTACCATTTTTTCAGCAACTGGGATACACATCCAATGAAGTTCAAGTCACATATCCTTCACCTATGATTTTGCTGATGGCTCTCAAATTGGGTACCCCTATTCATCCATTGGCGAATCGTTTTCCCAAAGAACATGGCCATTCCCAGCCATCCACCAGTCATGGGTGAAAACTCCATATCTTTGATGGTCAAATCCTATAAGTTGGCTGGCGAAACGGCGAAACCCACAATTTTTCAGACAACCCCAAATATCATTTTGTTATATCTTGTGTGTATGAAATATGAAATATATCCACAACATACTCCAGTAGCATGTCCCCATCATGGTTGGCTTGTACCCCTACTTTTTTTTTCCGCTCTTCATTGGTTAACATCGCTTTGAATCAGTAAATCAATCCCATAAAAATCCAATAGATTTGCTGAAACCCCAATGGATTTGCTCATGAAATCAATCGTGAAATCACCATCGAAATCATATCATGATCATTTTAAGATTAAACTGATTAAACTTAAACATAAACATCAAAAAAACACCATTGTTGCGGCTGACTCCACCATTTGGTTTCTGGATTTCAGGTGGTGAAGGCTGCGGAGGCCCAGGCGGATGCCGCACAACTCCAGGGCGAGGGCATTGCCCGACAGCGGCGCGCCATCATTGACGGCCTCAGGCGGCCTCGTGCGAAGTTTTGTGGATCAACATTTGGGATTTCCGCGGGATTTATGAGATTTACCCTCCGGTAAACTAACATAGCTATTGAAAATGGCCATTTATAGTGAGTTTTCCCATTAAGAATGGTGATTTTCCATAGCTATGTTAAATTACCAAAGGGTATATCTTGGATTTATATCTTGGATTTATGTGGATGAAAAAATTGGGGGTTTCACCAACATGAATCAACATGGTAGGTTTGATGAACCATATAAGTAGACATTATATTGGAGTTCTATTGGGACCTAGGATTTTCGCACCAAGAATGGAGGAAAGCCTGGGGAAAGCGGCGAAAAGGTGGTTTGCCAATCTCCCCAAGATCTCAGAAAGTACATTCATTTTCAACAGGTTTTGAAACAACAAGTAATTTGCAACAGCTTGAGGTCCTTGCAGGTGTTTTCAACGATCTCCTGGATTTTTTTGGTGCCACAGAAATTCTCTCCACTGTTCTTCTCTATTGTCCTGTTGAATCATCCACCCATTGATTCCAAGAATTGGTGTTGGGAAAGGGTTGAAGTCACCATGAAGTTGGTTGGGTTTAAAAACCATCCTGATGATTCGTGTAAACACATCCCATAGATCAATCCACAATCCATTCCAGCCATGGATACTCCCATGAAATCCTATTGACTCCTATCATAACCCCGAATTTTATCCCATTTTATCCCACATTGCTTCGGATACAAATCCTATTCTCCAGCCATTCAAAAAAATATTCCCATGGGTAGTGATAGGTCAACCATCCATTAAGTACCCCCTTAGGTCAACCCCCCATGAAATCTGCTTGGTTTCTCAACTGGTTGACCGTCGACCCATCCAGGGATTCGATCACGCACGGCTCCGGGGAGCACCTTTCGACGGAGAAGATTTCGGAACTGCTTCTGTCGCCAAACAGCACAGCACTGGGGCCGGGATTTCACTCTGGTAATTTAACATAGCTATTGAAAATGGCCATTTATAGTTGATTTACCCATTAAAAATGGTGATTTTCCATAGCATTCCATAGCTAATTATGTTAGTTTACCAGAGGGTATATGAGGATATGAGATAATCAACAATCTGATATTGGGGTTGGTCTGAAAATGGTGAATACATGAAATTATTGGATTTTGGGGTATCCGCTCTACGAGATCTGTGTAAAGACGTCAAACATTGGGATATGAGCAAAGAATATGGAGACGCACGAGACACGAGCTGGGTATGCAACCACAAATGGTGGGGATTCCAGGCAGCACCCATTGCTTTTTTTGCTGCAGCCGAACGCCAAGGATCACGCAGTATTTCGAAACCCTGCGTGATGTGGCAGCAAACAACCGTGCCTTGGCCCAACGTTCTTCCACTTGCCTGGAATTCGGAGGTTGAGGGCGAGTAGGGATGGAGTTTTGATGAACGCACCACAAGATGCAAGCAACAAATATAGTCATCCTGGAGTACCCTCTGGTAATTTAACGTAGCTATTGAAAATGGCCATTAATAGTGGATTTTCCCATTAAAAATGGTGATTTTCCATAGTTATGTTAGTTTACCAGAGGGTAGATCGAAGATGGTAATTTTCAAAATATCAGCACTGGCATGGAACAATTGTGGGAAACGAAATGTCAAACAACTCAGCACTCGAAATATGGCAAATGTCAAATGTCAAATGTCAAATCAATCAGCACTTAAATGGTCAATAAATATTTTTGAACATCCCATTTTTTCCATCTACTTCCCTTGTTTTGTCCAAGGCTCCAGCACGGTGTTCCTCCCTAGCGGACCTGGAGCAGTGGGAGATGTGTCCGCGCAGATTCGCAATGGGCTGTTGACCGGTGCAGCGGGTGCCCCGGGGCAGCTGACTATGTAAGGCACGCTTGGTGAGAAGTGGCTGGTGGATGGATGGTTTTCAAAAAGTTCTTCGAGTTATTTCAGAGTTTGTTGAGTTTCTAAAGATTTGTTTAAGACTTTTGAAATTCAGTTTTTCTTGCTTTTTTTTGAGATAGAGTCTTTTGCCAGATCATTAGTGGTTGCTTGAAAGATCACCTCACAACTCCTAAGCGCTTGGTACATGGAGGTTACAGCATGTTATGGCTAAATGGGACCCCAGGAATTGGGGACTTGGTAATCACAGTTATTTTCAACTTTCATGAGATAATTCTTCCAAGTGGATGGAAGGAAGGTGTGGCCATAATATTGGAGGACTTTCGGTGCTTCGCCTGAGGTTATTCTGAGTCAATGTAAATATCATCAATCAATATCAATCACCATTTTTTTAAAATCAACTTTTGGGGACCCGAGTCTCTGCACCGCCGGTCAGTTCCCCGTTTCGGCCAATGAGCAGAGGGCCGCGGTGAAGCAGCTAGGGTTTCACTGAGGTACCAGGCGTTGGTGAAGCGAAAGTTGTGACAAACTGTGCTCCAAAACCTAGTGGGTTGCTGGTTGTATGGAATGATATTGGTTTAATGAGTCACTGCAGCAATCCAGTACAGGTATCCCGATTAACCAGTAGAATAGAGTGATACATAAGTTTTCACCACCCCCGTGCCCGATTGGGTTGGTTCCCAACTGATGCCAATGGACCCAACTTCGAAATATTTGCAGTAAACTCGCCAGTGGTGGACGAATCGCCACCGGCTGCTTCAGTACCTCAAAGCGTTTCCGAACGGATCTTGAGAGATGAGAACAGTCTCTTGATCGGACCATCCCAATGGTGCCGCTGGAGCCATACTCAGCTTCCAGGCTGTCTCAAGAAAAATTGGCACACGGAGAGTGATTTTAACATATTTTAACATAGTGTGAATGGGCCAGCGAAATCCTGCATCACCGAACGGATGGTTGAAACATGTTGAAACCCTAGAAATCATGGGATGTTTACCATCTATCATATTTGGTGCAGGATTTCGCAACCATGCACCGTAACAGTAACAGGGATGGTCTATGGAAACGCGTTTAGGAGCCCTTCGATGACAACTCGTCGGATCGAAGGCCCTGCATGTTGACACAACGCAGAAGAACAATGCGATGGGTACTTTCCCACAGCAGATGTGCTATTTTGAGATGCCAATATTCATCCCGTCCCCCTGGTATTCAACACCCCCAAACGAAACCATGGTTTAGTAGGGAATTTCCACATAATTGGGATGGGATTACACACCAACCAGGAGGGGTTGGATCACATCTCAGTTCTTCGGTAATTGCAGCTTTGTTTTGTGGTTGTTTTTCAGCAGCACATCGGTGTGGACTTGGACAGCACTAAGTAGTGCGGCCTCACAAATGCTGAGACTGCTTGCTGATTCCTGTCATGTGTAGCAAAACAGCTGCAGCTGGTCGTCGGTCAACGACTTGATTCTTGCTGAAATCGCCAATGGTATATGGTCTGTGGTCATCCCAGCATCAGGGATTCCAAACATAATGGGTATATCCCAATCGATTGATGCCCTGTCCAGGCCATTAAGACCAATGCGCCAAATCATGTGGCTAGGCCCTCGGAATGACTCCTGGTGTTCCGATGATTGATGTGATTGTTGAGTATGTAGATTTGTACGAAAATAAGAATTTTCATCATTCTACTGGGTGAATATCTCAATATAAACCAAACACACATATGTATATATATATAAACCTGATTATTAATATAAACTTAGTATCACCAGCTGAATAGCCCCTCCTTCATCGTCGTAAGATGCTAAGACCTCTGAGGTCTTTGACCTCTTGCGGCTGTGGGCGGAAGAGCATCCGCCCACGCAAGGGCTCCCAGACTTTTCGCCGCAGAGTCCAAGACCCTAAGCTTCCAGATTGCTGAGATAGTACTATCTATACCATTGATGAAAATCCAACAACTTTGGGCGGATTGGTCAACCGAACCTGAGAATATGATAAAACCAGGAAATACATGGAAGGATTGAGGATGCGCAAGGACTGCTGACAACATTGCAGTTTTTCTGGTAGAGTCGGTAGAGTATCTATGTTCTTTGATGATGGATCTTTGACACGCAGAGCCGACACGCAGAGCCGCATGAAGGATCACCAGCCCCACACAACCAGCATGAATCGCTGGTCATGAATCAATGTATGATTATAATTGTAACCAGATAACAAGAAGGAGATGGCTTATTTCAATTTTGATGTATAAATTTACAAAATTTTGCGGGGTCAGATTCAACGGACCGCTCAGACAACTGAGCGGCAACACCAAGGAAATGTCCTCTTCCAGCGCTGCTTGGGAAGGTCCAAACGCCACAGTTTGATGGTCAAAAGCCGCATGTTTCCCATCGAAACAGATTGAAACAGCCATATCTTTAAGGGAAATTCACCAAGGAACCCACCCAATATCGGAACATTTTTTTTGTCAGAATTCTTTGATTTTCCATGTGACATCCTTTTTTTTTTGCAAGGATTTTTTATGGATCCCGTGTTGGGTCGGAAAGCGGAAAACGACGTGGTTTTCATTCTAGGATTAACTGAGCCTTTGGTGACACCGTTGCTGCCGGGCGAAACAAATATACTATGTTTGAGCGCGTGAATGGTTGATTACCTCTGAATGTTGCTTATTATGAATATATGTTTCATGTTCAATGTGTGTGTTTTTTCCGATTGGTGTCATTTCCTCTGGGGCTTTGGGGATATTTTGGTGCTAACTTTCACTGATGATGTCGTGACTGGATGAGATGAGGGTGCCCAAAAAAACCCAGGGGAAACAACATGAATGGTCAAGGAACACACATTGAAAATCATAAAAATTAACGTAAGTCATAGCAAGCAAACATACAAACACAATCAACCATACATGCCCTGAAACCCACGTTTTCTCAATTTTTTTTGGGAACATTTTGCGTCCAGGAAATTTCTCTTCCACGGCCGTTGGAGTGGAGAACTGAAGGGCATCAGGCTGGGGAGTGGGGGAGCAATCGGCCGTGAAAAGGGGGAAAGCACGATGAACCACTGGAATTTGGAGATTTACCCTCTGGTAAACTAACATAACTATGGAAAATCACAATTTTTAATGGGAAAATCCACTATAAATGGTCATTTTCAATAGCTACGTTAAATTACCAGAGGGTAAGGGTATATCAAACATCATCATTGGGAAACACACATTTATAACCATCGACAGAAAACATGAGGAACCACTGGAGAATGAAACCATTTTTTTGCCCCCCCCATCAGTGCTCAAAGACATGTCTGCATTTCGACACCTATTTTTGGTTCCTGAGTCGTTGTTCAATCTGTGGCATAGCAATTTTGCGCCAGATGCGGATCCCATCGTACCCCTGTCCCCAATCCCCAGGGTGAGAAGGTGGCAAAGTTTCTGTGACTTGGTGAAATTAAGCTGTGGTTCGCGACGGACCTGGCTCTCCTGTTTGTTGGTCTCCGACCATATTTTTGCTATTCTATTTCTAAAGACGAAGCTGATTCCGTCTCAGTTCAAGGCCGAACACAATTGAGTAGCCTTCGTGTCTTCACATGGTCTATTTATTTCCTTTGGTGATGTGGAAACCGGGATTTCAGGATGAAATGACTGACAGCGTCAATTTAGGTTTTCTTTAAAGTGAGAACTCCAAAAACCAATGGACCACGAAAATGGCAAATCCTTTTGGGTCCTCAATCTGAAGAACTATCTCAATGCGCTGCATGAGGCCCAACCCAGAGCCCAACTGGGGTCCAAAGTCGGAGACCCCAAATCCAAGGATTCGTCAGTTGCTACTGAAGCCAGCATTCTGACAAGGTGTGTATGGGAAATGTTGGAACCACATAATCTAAGATTACAGTGCCTTCCCTGTGATATTTCTGAGGCCCCGCGCCCGCTCTGGTACGCCCCATGCTTGTGTTGTGGGGCGGGTGGGGCTGCTCCAAGTGTTGGGATGCTTATGGATGCCCCATTCTAAGCCAGACAGACAGAATTTGCCAACCCAAAATGTCAGGCTGTCGCAGATCGTAGCGCTCCTTGAAGGCATCTGATTCTGGCTCAGACCCTGGGTGGAAAGCAGGGCCTTGGCCCGGGGCCATTGGAGGCTCGGAGGGGAGGGGTTGGAAGGTGGTAAATTTTCACTGAGAAGCGGCATTGGGACTTACATAATCTTCACCATTTTTGCAGGTACCATTCTGCCACTGTATCTGTGACGGGATGATTTGCTTGAGCAATTTGAAGCAATCCCAATGTCCCAGAATTGATTTGCACGGGAACATCTAGATTTCCTTTCAGCCAACCCCTTGAAAATGACAACTAGTAGTGTTGAAAACCAGATTGCCATAAATTTCCAGCTGAGGATGGTTGGAATCCCATCTTCTGATAGAACACCTACGGGCCACCTTGGCCAGGGCATCGGTGAAGTCACCATGGCGGCGGGGGCGCTGATGACCATGCCGGCAGGAGGGCTCAGGGGATCATCTCATCCAGATGAGTTTGCTTGAACATGGGGGAGATACCACGACTTTGCGATATTTTTAGAGGAAAAATATATGGAAAAACGATGAACATTGATTCACCATCAAATCTTTGGCACCAAGATTTCAGAGAAATTGGAATGTTTATAAGTCATATGAGATATTCACCTTGATATGAGATGTGAATGTTCAAAGAAACATGGATCTGAATCATTCTTAATCCCTGTGAATAGCTAGTGGTTAACCCCATTTAACACCCATGTTTGACCCAGACGTTCCGGTTAGCTTTCTGAGGTGCTCATTGTGAACATGGGCGGGGAGATGGTCTACATTTTGGCCCAGCGCTTGCAGGCGCAGCAGATCCCTTCCAGCAAGGGGCAGAAAGTCCTGTGCGACGTGGTGCGCCTGGCACTGGCAGATGGGGAGATTGGACCTGATTGGAGCAAAAGCCTTGCCATTTCGAATCTACTTGGATTTTTCCGTGTGTTTTGGGGGCATGGAATGCAAGAGGCTTGTAAATCTGGGATTCCAAACAGCAGATGGAACCGTCATTCTTTCCAGTAGCGTTGGTAGGGACACCCATGACTTCATTTTCGAGCCAGGGATGCTTCCTGTCGGTTCCCAAAAATCCCCCACAATTCCATGCTTTATTATCCTTTTCCCACTCCAATGTTTAAAAACCAAATCAAATTGGGGCTCAATCCACCAATTTCAGTCAAACACATCTTAATCTTGATAGTGAAAACACAATAACATATCCCCATCGTCTCCCTTTTTCTTGGCCATTCAGAACTGAAGCACAGCATATTCCCAAAGTTTTGGTTGATGAGGTACGAACCATGTACTACCCGCGCTTTATTGAGGAACTCTTTAAGCCTCAGGACCGGCCCTCATCCTCTGGTGGCTGGAGGTTTGTTATATTCCAGTTACAAACACACTGAGCTGCAAAAAGTTGGATCCTTATATTATTTTTTTCAGATGATTTTATCATACCAGTAGTACCGCACAAGGCGGTGGCGGAAGTTTCAAAGATAGGACACTATAGGAGAGGTGAGTTGTTGTGATGCATGGATGGCAGAGCGAATCCACTGATGGACGGAAAGGTGGTTGGAGTTGCGTTTTTTTTTTTGAGTGGTTGCAATGGTTGCAGTGGCCACCTCACCCACAACTGCTGGATGTACTGTAGTGTAGTGGAGTTGTAGTTGTAGTGCAGTGTAATTATTGTAGTGTAGTTGCTGTTGCAGTTGTTGTTGTGGCGTGGTGTAATTAGTGTGTGTAATTCGTGTAGTGTACTGTAGTGTTGTGTACTGTAGTGTAGTATAGTGTAGTGTAGTCTCGTGTAGTGTAAAGTAGTGTAGTTGTAGCTGCAGTGTAGTTCGTGTAGTGTATTGTAGTGTAATCTAGTGTAAAATTGTGTAAGTAGTGTAATTTAGTTTTGTGTAGTGTAGTTGTAGTTGTAGTTGTACTTGTAGTTGTAGGTGTAGCAGTGTAGTGTAACTACTGTAGTGTAGTGTAATGTAGTCTGTAGTGTAGTTGTAGTTGTAGCTGTAGTTGTAGTGTAATTAGTGTAGTCTACTGCAATTAGTGTAGTGTAATTAGCGTACTGTAATGTAACTAGTAGTGTAGTATAGTTGGTGTAGTGTAATGTAGCCGAGTATATTTGTATTTGTAGTTGTAGCAATAGTGTAGTGTAGTTGTAGTTGTGGTTGTAGTTGCCTATCTATTTATCTGTCTATCTGCAAGCTTGAGAACGAAGCTATTCTGCGAGACTTCCTGAATTTTTGTACTTGACAACATCAAAACGCAGCAATTCTGCGAGACTTCCTCAATTTTGGAACTTGACACCATCCAAAACAAAGCAATTCTGCGAGATTTCCTCAATTTCCGAAGTTGACAACATCAAGAACGCAGCAATTCTGTGAGATTTCCTTGAAAAATGGAAAGTTGAGTGCAAAGCTGACGGCCTCGTACCAACGCGTTTTGCGATTTTTCCATTCCACCTGTCTCAAAGTACTGCGCCTGCCACAAAAAAGTGAAGGCCAGGCCAGAAGAAGTGCTGCACCTGTTACGCAAAATCATCTTCGCAAACCTGACGATTGATGCTCCAAAAGCAACCTCTCTCAGGAAATCAGCGCCCGGACCTCCTAACATATCTGATTCATGTGTCTCTTGTATTGCGCCTGCCGTGTAAAATGCATCTTTGCAGATCCTCTTCAAATATCCCACGCCTGCCAACGCTTTTGAAATTGCCACAAAACCATCACATTTTTCTCACTTTTGACAAGGTGCACAATCCCTTGCGCCTGCTACGCGAAACGACATCTGAACGTCAAAAAGTTGTCCGAGCGTGGTGCTTTGTACATTTTGACTTTGACATGTGCTTCGCCACAACGGTGTGCATTTTTTCGACAGCTCAACTTCCAAAAGTGCTTCGACATTGAAATGTTTTGTACATTTTGACTTGGGAATGTGCTTTGCGCCACAACGGCGCGCACTTTTTCGAGAGCTCAACTTCCAAAAGTGCTCCGGCGTTGGTGTGTTTTGCACATTTTGACTTCCAAATGTGTTTCGCGCCACTGCGGCGCGCACTTTTTCGAGAGCTCAACTTCCAAAAGTGCTCCGGCGTTGGTGTGTTTTGCACATTTTGACTTCCAAATGTGTTTCGCGCCACTACGGCGCGCACTTTTTCGAAATCTCAACTTCCAAAAGTGCTGCAACGTTGAGGTGTTTTGTGCATTTTGACTTCGAAATTTGCTTCGCGCCGCAACGGCGGGCAATTTTTCATCTCTCATTTGCCCACTTTAGCGAGCCTACTTTTCGACCCTCCGGAGCCAAGTGCTGTGCGACTTTTCTACATTTTCGTGCGCTTGCATCTTCTTTCTTCTGACTCTTTCTCTTGTCTGACCTTCTTTCTTCTTCTCTTCTCTTCTCTTCTCTTCTTTTCTCTTCTCTGACTCTTTCCACCTCTGTTTTTTCATCTGTCCAAGTTGTCGGGAGTTTGACTTCTAAAATTCCTTCGATTATACCCATTTTTTTAAAAACATATATAATAATTACAAACATATAAGGCAAAAAAGGCTCCAATTTAATCTATTACAAGATTTTTATCCACCAAAATCACCCAAAAAATCCAGGAGATCTATTCGCTGCAATCCACGCGGCAGATCTTCGACCGCCTGGCGCACTCCTCTATCATGAGGCGAACGCAGGGGCATGGTATGGTGATTTTCCATGAAAAAAAACCGAAAAACTGTGGAAGAAATGGGGGAAACTGGGGAAATGTGGGGTTAATATGATTTTGATGGGGAAATTAATATGGGAACATATGGGAAACTGCGGGACAAACGGTGATTTTGACGGGACGTCGTATGAAAAAATATTGGAAACAATTTGGAGAATGCGGGCAGAATGCGGTCAAGAAACTAGGAATCCAGGGGAATCAATCTGGGAAAAATATGATCCATCAATGGAGATGATTCCCATTTGTTCTCAGCAATCATGGAAGAAAATTTGTGATTAGTAAATTTCTCCCATGATTTTGGGATTCTGAACACTTTCAGTTATCCTTGGAGATGGTGCCTGAGGCTCAACGAGTCTTCCATGGGAAAGCTGTTTGATCTGATGATCATGGGCTTCAAGTTGCAACTGATGTCCGTGTCTCCTCGGGACCGTGGCAGGGGTTGGTCACAGGGTGGGGAACATATTTTTGGGTCAGCTACCGAAGAAGAGGGTTTCCAAAGAAAAATTAGGGTTATATAGAGGGTCAAATTGGCAGTCAGGGTACGAAGGCTTGAACCATAGCAACCCAAAGCAGCAGTACAACTGATACAACTACCCAAAACGATACCATGATACAAAGCAAACAATTCACCAGGAAACCTACAAGTTTACGTCATTAGTGACCCAGTTTTATACGCTCTCAATCTACAGTCTCATTCAGCAGGAGATCATTGACGTCACCAACAACCACCTGGAAGAGTTGCGGAGACTCGCAGGTCGGGAAGTCACGAAGTCACTGGGGGATGGTAACTGTACTCATCGATCTGGTCATATTGGGGATGGTTTATGATTGCGTTTACCACATTAAATTTAAATGTGATGGTGATATATCAGTGATACTAGAGAATGACAATAGTAGTCTGTGCAACATGAGATACAAGACTCATAGAAACAATACGTGCAAACCCCCCAGCTCGCCCACCACTTTTCAGAGGATATTGAAGGGCGTGTTAAACTTTATATTCAAGGGAATCTTCAACATGTTTCAACAGAGATTCTAAGGAATCATCAAATCCACACCCCCGTTAAACTTTACATTCAAGGGATTTTAAAGGAATTTAGGGTTTAGCGTTTTAGCGTTTTAGCGTTTTAGGGTTGATGTTGTTGATGTTGATGTTGTTGTTGTTGTTGTTGATGATGTTGATGTTGATGTTGATGTTGTTGTTGTTGTTGGTGGTGGTGGTGGTGGTGCTGCTGCTGCTGTTGTTGTTGTGGTTGTGGTTGTTGTTGTTGTTGTTGCTGTTGTTGTTGTATTAACATTCAACGCAAAGGTAGCTAAGGTGTGCATTGCAAGATGAAAGCCATGATCATGGACATGTGCATTTTGTCCCACAAAACAGTGTTTTTTGATCTTCGGAGACGTCGTCGACGTAGGCGCGGGCAAGCTGAGGGGTTTGCCCGAAACAATACTGTCATGATGAAACGAGCAAACAATACTGTTATGATGGGAGATCAGTCTTCCGAAAAAAATATGCCTTTTCGGCACCGAAACAGCAGCTTGAGTACTGACCCCACATGACACCACCTGAGATGGATTTCTTCTAGACAAGAAGCGCCTACAAATGAAGGTCGGAGTATCCCAGTCTAAGCGAAAACCCGGGAATGATGCAAGATGACCTTCAAGTCAACGTGTGAAATGAAAAACATACTTGTAGGAACAATTTCAATTACCAGGATTACCAGGACTCTGATGCATTTTGGAGGCTCTTTGATCCCAAATTGGCTGGTCACTTTCCTACAGCTGGGGATGGAGGTGATGGCGAAGGTGTGTCCTCACTTGTGGAGGAGTGCGTGACGCAAGTGCCTGCCTGCCATGTTTTTTCGTGGGAAATGGAGGTGTCTTTTCTATGATTCGTTTGATTTCTGAGAAGTGGCTGTGTCTGAAAATGCACCTTTCAACTCATGGATGAACCCAAAACATGGACATTAGAATCATTAGAATCATTAGATCATAGTAAAACTGGATTATTTAAAGCATCGTAACTTAAAATGTGTGCCAAAAACCGTGGCCAGGAGACAGGCTTATGGACAGCGCCAGCCTCAGTGAATCTGGGAAATTTTTGTATCATAGATATAACCTGATTTTTTAACCATCGAATTTTGTATAAAATGGTGTTTTAAAAAGCAAGAACAATTGGGAATACGGTTTTTATATGTTTTATATGTTTTTTTTTTTTAATGATATTTGGATGCGACTGATTTAAAAAGTGGGGTATGTGGGCAGTGGAACCCCAACTTGTAGCCATTTAAGAGGGAACATGATTATCAACCAGTGGATTTAGGGGGTACCAGATTGACAGATGTCGACTCTTGAAGCTTAGAGGGATGTGAACTGCAGATTTCAGTGATTCGCAAGTACTGTATGATTTACAACAAACTGGTTGACCTCCTACAAGCCACTAGGATGGGCTTGGCAGATCTCTGCAATATGCGGCACTGTCAAAACCTCAGTCGGTCAATTCGGTCCATGGGGGTGGTGATTCAAAACCAGGGCCACTCTGAGACAACCCAAATGCAGATGGCATGTCTTTGGAGTGGACATGGTGTGAACATGTGACCTTCGAAGTCTGGTCCTCAAACATGCCAATGGGAAAACACAATTACAAGGATTCTCTACTGGATTTTCCATAAAACATTCTTTCATGTTGGAAAACACATGAAATCCATTGAAATCCCCCAAAATTGTAGCTGTTTTCCATAATCCCCAAAAACAACATTGATAAATTGGTGGATTTTGCACATTGTTCCCTTGGATCTCAGCTGCAGAGGCCTAGCCACTTTCGTCCAAGACTGCAAGGTCAAGGTGTCTCTGTTTCTTCATGCCCGGGGCTAAGGATCAGCCTGGAGTGGTTCAATTTTTTAGCATGGTACAAAAGGTCTTGACTCAATCTTGACCCAAATTTTGGTGTGGATTGATGGAGGTTGTTTTTTTTGAAATGTAGCTACACCATGTTACATCCAAAATGTACAAATTGCTGGGATTTATGGAGGTTTAATCCCCTGGTTCCATAGGTAACGACCCAGCACCGAGTGAGGAAAGCAATTAATTTGTTCCTACTTCGAAGTGTTTTGACCCCACACTTTAAGACATCTGCTGAATTGCTGGAAGATCTACGTTATATAAAGATGTATAAAGTTATATATGTATATATTGTAATACGTATATACAATGCAAGTTATATATTATACATCTACAGTAGGTGGTGAATTATAGATGTAAGCTATATATATATATATTATACATATATACATACATATAGCATATACAATACACAACCTATAGCCCTGCGCGTCCTGTGAATTGCGGCGTCAGAATGGCCTCTTGGCACCAAGGAAGGTACCCAAAAGAGCGACGGCGCGTTTGCCATGCCCGGATCCAAGCGCTGCTCAATGCAGAAAAAAATCGATGGGTACAATTTACTACCAGGTTAGTATCATCTACCGAGCTTCAAAGTACTTCTGTGATGGCATCATGGCCATTGCTATGTTTCAATCCCATGGCCACATGGCCACATGGCCACAGTCCTGGAATTGATCGAGGCCATCTTTTGGTACCCTTCAGGAAGGAGTTTGGGTGCTCAGTGCCAGGCTTTGTGGATCGTTTATGCCTCAAAACATGGGAACTGATCCATGGAATCCGCCCAGGGGCCCAGGGGCCCAGGGGCCCAGAATCCATTCCGTTGCATCCATATTTTGAAACCCGAACAGACCACCTCATTCTTCGAGGGCAAGAACTTCTATCGAGTTTCCAACAAGCACCATGTTTGCTAGGGAAACCATGTTTGCTAGGGAAAAAACAACAAGAGGAAACAAGAACGCATGACTCACAGATGTTTTGTGCGCCTAAGAAGCCTTGATCGTCGAAATGATGAAGAAATTCTCCACCCGACAAGCCGCACGATCTCCATTGTTCCCAAGGCTTTGCAGCCAGGAACCGTGAGGTATTTCTCCGGTGGGCAGGAGGTGCGGGCGTGGTGAGACATGGCAGCAGGGGCTTGACATTTAAGGCCCAAGGGATCCCAGGGATGATAATCCCATTTTGGAATATTTTGGAGGTAATATTGATCAAACTGACCAGTTGTCAACTGGTTCAAGAAGCAATGGAGGCTCCTAAGTCACCTTGAATGAGAAGCTGGTGCTATGCTCGTAGCAAGAATCAGGGCTCCTAAGTCTATCCAATGGTATATTCCATCAATAAACATCTATTATAATATCCCAAATATCGTGATATAGTATATCTATAGTCTATATGTATATCTTGAACATCAATCAACACTATATCCGAATAAACATGACTATCGTTCATAATAAATGCGGGTGAATTTCTTCCAAGAAATTGGACCTTTGGAGATTTTTCCACCGCCCAGTCAGGTTCGGAGAGAAGTGCTCAGCACGGTCACTGGCAACTCCTGGTTGCCCGCCACTGGGCAGCGAACCACCTTAGGCCTGGCACCATGAGAGATTGACTCAAAACTCATCCTGGTGATTGGGAGATTGTCATTTGTATTATTTGGTTGGGTCATCCCTATCCCAAGATTGTTGGTTGGTGTCATGCCAAATATGCTGCCACACTTGTACAGCCAAGTATGAGGACAGGAGTTTTCTGCCCTTTTCACAGCACAGATTTAGCATTTTCAGTGTCCGGGAGGCTCGAACATCTATGACAAGGAGCCGAGAGTTGCTGTTTGGATCGGACCCACTTGGTGGTTCATTCCACTTGGCCGGTGATTTGTATCGTTACGTAGTAGGGCTAATCATTGGACTGGTTTGGGGGAAACGTTGCAGATATTTCATGGGGAAAACAGGTTTTGCTGTAGATGTCCCCCAAATAATAATCCCCTTCATCGAATTGCATGAACTGAACTTATCCACTTGGTGTGTTACTCAGTACATATTATCCTCTTATTATCCAGTGCTTCTGTCATTGGGTTGGTTTACGGGAAATTTTACAAGAACCCCCCTATATTTCATGGGGAAAACTATGGTTTCCTGGTTTCTTGTAGATGAATCCGTCAACCAATCCACTGATTCTGCAGTTTTCTCAGCACTTCACCACCGGCCTTCCGCGAAAAGTTCGGACCTCGCAGGAGCGGCGGCCGCCCAGCAGTAGCGCCTCGGCTCCCTCGGAGGTACAGGCCGGGAATCCCGTTCTTAACCACCCAGTATATCCAGTATCTTTAGTGGATGATTTTTCTGGCCCAACTTTTCAGCTGGATAAAAAACATGTCCTGAAAAATAAGATGGAGACTTAAGATGGATAAAAAACAAAGATAGGAGGTTTAGTCAACAAATCTGGAGATTTTATCATACGAATATGGGGATGAACATGCAGCTATACCAGCCATTTGGATGTGAAGGGCAGTTTTTTTCATCAAGAGCCATATTATGCCATATTTCTCTTACTATCTAGCAACACTCCTGGCCTGTCTTTTTTTGTTCCGGGTTTCCATAGGTTCCAGGACGTGCGGCTTGACTCGCACTGTCAACATATATGCCCTTATATGCCCTTCCTGTCTTTATTGTTTGCTTTATTTCCCGCCACTCCCACCACGGATATTGGAGCTTTTTGCAATCTCCTGCGTCACATGTCTTGCGAGACTTAAAAAAGCGACACCACTTGTGTGCTTCCTGTTCATATGCGATGGAGGTTGGCCCGAAAAAGCATGGTTATTTCATGTTATTTCGCCCTACAGGCCCTACAGGAGTGAACCACTGGAATACCACTGGACATTTAAACAGCTGGAATACCAAAAAAGTCCAAAAATCAATTTTTATGAACCAGATATTTACATACTATTGTTTATCACTTTATTATGTAGCTATGTAGATCAAATTTGTGCATTGTACATGCCCTTGAACCGGACACACAAACACTTTGAACCCAGAGTTGTCCGGCTCCAGGCTTCGGCGACGAATACCGGCCCGCCGGCCCCTCCGGTCGCGATGCTGAGGGATGGGGAATGGGTCAAGATTGGGGGATAGCCATGGCAGCCATTTGTGCAGCAAAGATGTCGGTTAAACATCAATTTTCTGGTAATTTTTCGGGAAAGACATCCATTTCAAACAAACCCAAAGTAGACCATGACCATGAATGAAGCTTTTTCTTTGGGTACACGGTCAAAAACGGAGCATCTAATAGGGAGATCGATCCAAAAACTTCTGTGTATTGACGGCCGCCTCCCAGAAACTGAAAATAGGCTACTCGGCTACTCCATTCCATCCCAGTTATATAAAACAGCTTCCATTTTCAGACAGCTGGCCATAACTCCCGTAACTCCAGTGGGGCGTGCTGAGGCCCCACCCCCAAGTCCCATTGAAGTTGCCAAGACTGCGGCTGCTGTGGGCGAGCGTGGGACTAAGATGGGCTCCGGGTGGCCATTTCACATTGGTTACAGTCAGTTAGAGAACCGGAGATATCAAATCCACCATTTTTCATAATTTTTCTAGTATAATGGCAATATTAGTCCAATCCCCATAATCATATATAATACATATAATCATAATCTCCTTTAATTCACTGATTACTATTATTATGGTTGGTGCTCTGTGTGTGGAACATCCCCAGCAAGCATAAGCTGTTTCCCTACCGAGGCTGAACATGTTAGCATCGCTCATTGGTGGCGGACATGCGGCCTCCTGTCTGATCAAGGGATAGCCCTACTGGTCACATGCATATGGGCTTTAGTCTGAGAATTCTTGGGAAAAAATAAGATCTTCTGGTCATTCTTCATTGAAACAGCAATACGTATTCAATGCGTCCCAATCTTTTATCATTTGTGGATTTATATATTCATCATTTTCCCTATGAACGACGGGGAAAGCTCCAAATTCTTATGATATCGTATGATCAGTATTCTGCGTAATATGGCCATAAGTTGGTGGCTACCACTGAAGATGGTCCTGAAGATGGATGGTTTTGCATTCAGATATGTTGGTGCAGTGTAGTGTAATCGCTTATATTTATATCATAAGTATTTGTATGATGATACAATTAAGTATCAGTATAAAGATGTACCTATGCACAGAGAAGATCAACACTGGCAACCAACAGTCGTATCCAATAAAATCATTGGGCAGCTTGCAACTTACAACTATCCTGGCTATGCATTCCTTTTTCCCGAATGCGTAGCAAGGGTTCCCGTTTCACTCTGGGGGTCTGGGGGTTGAGGTTGTGTTCGCTCGACGTTGCGTTTATGTTCGCAACCATCCGCAACCGTCCGCAACCGTCTGCAACCGTTCGCAACCGTTCGGAACCGTCCGCAACCGTCCGCGTGAGGGGCGTATGGCCGTGTCTATGGTAAGTTTGCAAAAGGGGTCATTTTTGGAGGTTTCAAACGTCGCGTTGCTTCGTTTTGCGTGGCACTTCGTGACATTCACACTTGTTTCGTAACGTGTCGAAAGTCGTTTTGTGTGGCAGGCGCAATACTTTTGCAACGTTTTCAGAAGATGCGTTGCAGTTTTCGTGGCAGGCGCAGCACTTTGGACGCGTCCATCGTCATTTTGCGTGGCAGGCGCAGCACTTTAGACGTATCGTGTTGCGCGTTTTTGCAAATCGCATTGTCAGGGCTGCGTCAAGTGGCGACAAGGTGCCACTTCCGTGGCAGGCATGGCATTTTGTGAGATGTGATGAAAATTGACGGATGCCCGGCACGAAATATCGATTTTGAGGTAGCAAATTTGGAGGTTCAGAAGAAAACTCATAGAAAAACATCGGTTTTGAAGCTACAAAGTGTGAAAATTGGAGGAAGTCTCGCACGAAATGCTCGTTTTGATGCTCCCACGTGTCTCGTCTCGAGTCTCTGGTTTTCCTGTGGCCTCACCGTGTCTATGGGGGAAGCTGCAAAACCTCTCCTTTTCGAAGGTTTCCAAGCAGGCTGTCATGTCGTTTTGCGTGGCAGGCGCGGCACTTTGTGACATTCCAACCTGTTTGATAGCGCGTTGAAAGCCGTTTTGTGTGGCAGGCGCAAGACTTTTGCGTTGTTATCACAAGATGAGTTGCAGTTTTCGTGGCAGGCGCAGCATTTCGGAGATCTCTGTCGTAATTTTGCGTGGCAGGCGCAGCACTCCACACCCCACACTCCACACTCCATACTCCACCCTTTACACTTCACACTCCACCCCTGTGCCCAGTCAACAGAGACCTTCAAGCTGGAGAACCTCTTCGGGCATGACATGTTTACCAAGGCGGGCGTTGTGGGCAGCACGGAGCCGAAAAATTTGGGACTTCCAACAGATACATTTGGAGGTTTCCTAAGTCATGGGGGGTGCCCCCAAATCATGAACAAACCTGTTGGAAACTCCCAGGTTATTTGGCCTATAAATGACCAGCATGTGAAATTTATGGTTGTGGAGATTTGACGATTTGTCAAAAGGCCCATATCGATTTACAGCTTGGGGACACCGTGGTACTTGATGGGCCAATCATGCTGAATGCCGAATACCTCCCATCAATGCCTTTTCAGTTTTTCAACTCAGGGAGGATCAGCATGCGTGCACCACGATCCAACTGCCTACAGTAGGGCAAATTCAGCAAGAGAGACCAATGCACCCAAGAAATGACAATCTGGCAATCCAGTATACCGTCCATTTGAAGTAGCTATGGAAGCCATGACCCATTTAGTTCGATGATTTACCTATTAAAAGAATGGTGATTTTCCAGTTCTCAAACTGTGAAATTACCAGAGAAGAATAAATGTCATCGGTGATTTCCCAAGCTCCCGGCCATGGGCGCTGGTGCCATCCGCCGCTCCGGACCGTTCTTCGAGTCTTCAGAGCAGCCGAGAAAACGGCGCCGTGGCAATGAGAAGAGTCTCTTTTGATGGTTCATGCTACCAAGAAGAAAAAGAAGAAGAAGAAGAAGAAAAAGAAGGGCAACTTTGGGTCTACTTGAAAATGGGGTATACCCCAAACATCGCCATTTAATTTGGCAAATGATGATTCAGCATCAATTTTGCGGTTATCCTAGTTTCAGACAAAACCATACGATGAATCATGATGTCAATGCAACCAACAAAACTCATTTTTGGACTTTCAGATTTTCCACTTTTCCATGACGGTGTCATGCAGGATGAGTGATTCTGGTTGATGTCCGTGTAATTCCATTCCCATGATGTGAAGATGTGAGACCTGAGGCAGCGCGTTGAACCAAGAGGAGAAGAGCTCCATTTGTTGTACATCAAGGGCTTGGACGGATCGACATTTCAGCTCCAAATCGGTGACGATGCGAATGTCGAAGATGTGTGCAAACGCATCTCAGAGCAGATAGGTTTGAAACCGGGTAGGAAACTGTTGCTGATGTCGGGCTGCAGTATCCTTGACGCTTCCAAACAGCTGCTGCCACAAGTGCAGAGTGGGGAAATCAGTTACGTTGTCCAGAGAATCAGTGCGTACGAGGTTGCGAGGACTTTCTGGAAAAACATCATACCAGTCAAGAAAAGACAGAGCCTGACGGCTGCAGATCTAAACGCAATAAATGCAATTATTGCATTGAACCTAGGCCCGCATGTTCATCGGAGTTTGGAAGGGGCAACATTGCCGCGCAGTCTGCGGACCTTGACCCTTGGGTCAGAGTTCAACCAGAATTTAGCGGATGTATCGTTGCCAAGTAGCCTGCAGACTTTGACCTTCGGATCACAGTTCGACCAGAGTTTGGCAGATGTAACGTTGCCAAGTAGCCTGCAGACTTTGACCTTCGGATCACAGTTCGACCAGAGTTTGGCAGATGTAACGTTGCCAAGTAGCCTGCAGACTTTGACCTTTGGGTCACAGTTCAACCAGAGCTTGGTTGGTGTGACATTGCCGAGCGGCTTGCATACTTTGACCTTCGGGTTACAGTTCAATCAGAGTTTGGCAGATGTAACGTTGCCAAGCAGCCTGCACAAATTGACCTTTGGGTCACAGTTCAACCAGAGTTTGGCTGGTGTGTCATTGCCGAACGGCCTGCAGTTTTTGACATTCGGGTTACAGTTCAACCAGAGTTTGGCAGATGTAAGGTTGCCAAGTAGCCTGCAGACATTGACCTTCGGGTCACAGTTCAACCAGAGTTTGGCAGGTGTAATGTTACCAGGTAACCTGCAGACACTGGAATTTGGATCCGACTTCAATCAGGAATTAGCAGGTGTGACATTGCCTGACAGCCTGCGAACTTTGACCTTCGGGTCGCAATATAACCAGAGCTTGGCAGGCGTGCCATTGCCTAGCAGCCTACAGACTTTGACCTTTGGGTATGCGTTCAATCAGAATTTCACAGGAGTGAAGTTGCCCGGAAGCCTGCGGACTTTGACGTTTGGGCATTTGTTTAATCAGAGTTTGGCAGGTGTGACTTTGCCACAGAGCCTGCAGACTTTGACATTTGGATCCCACTTCAATTGGAGTTTGGCAGACATAAAGTTGCCAAGCAGCCTGCGTGCATTGTCCTTTAGGAAAGCTCAGAATTTGGCAGGTGTGACTTTGCCACAGAGCCTGCAGGCTTTGACATTTGGGAGAGCTCAGAGTTTGACAGGTGCGATTTTGCCCAGCAGCCTGAAGGCTTTGACATTTGGGTACGCATTCAATGAGAGTTTGGCAGGTGTGAGATTACCCAGCAGCCTGCAACATCTGACCTTTGGATATGCGTTCAACCAGAGTTTGGCAGGTGTAACGTTGCCAAACAGCCTTCAGACTTTGACATTTGGGTCCCAGTTCAACCAGAGCTTGGCAGGTGTAACGTTGCCAAGCAGCCTGCAGACTTTGACCTTTGGGTCCCAGTTCAACCAGAGTTTGGCAGGTGTGACGCTGCCAAGTAGCCTGCAGACTTTGACTTTCGGGTCACAGTTCGACCAGAGTTTGGCGGATGCAACCTTACCAACTAGCCTGCAGACATTGGAATTTGGATGGCGTTTCAACACAAGTTTGGCAGGTGTAACGTTGCCGAGCGGCCTGCAGACTTTGACCTTTGGGCATTTGTTCAATCAGAGTTTGGCAGATGTAACGTTGCCAAGCAGCCTGCACAAATTGACCTTTGGGTCACAGTTCAACCAGAGTTTGAAGGATGTAACGTTGCCAAGTAGCCTGCAGACTTTGACTTTCGGGTCCAGGTTCCGAGGGGATTTGGCAGATGTGATATTACCCAGCTGCTTGCAGACGCTGAACTTTGGGATTTTGTTTAATCTGAGTTTGAGACGCGTGGTTTTTCCAAGCAGTTTGCGCCGAATTTGTTGGCTCGGAATGTCTGTAGACATTGTAGAGTGAGTGTGATCAGTTATCAGTCGCTTTCACTGATTGGTGCGTCACTCTTACTTGTTCAGAAGCTGGGAACAAGGAGTCGTGCTGATCCTTCCGTGAAGTCGTGACCCACAGGCGATCCATAGCCCCGATCCATACCCATGATCCATACATCTCTAAGGGACATGATCCACGCATGCCCTTGATCCTTACCAAAAAATGACGAATTGTACTGATACCATGCCACTTTAGCGTATACCTTCTCAGTAGGTCTGTATCAAACCTCTTATACTTAACTCGCTCGTTCCATACGTCCGGATCACCGCGGAACGATCCATACCCGTTTTTTGAGCCATAAGGCCATACCGGAATCAGGCTATCAAGCCCAAAAAACAGTGGCGGCTCAAGGATTCTTATTATGAAATGGTTGTACCGTACCCAAGATTGTACTTCCATTTTGGCGTTCCAAGATTTTGACATTGGGTCCACTTCAATCATGTTGGTTCCACTCCCATGATTGCTATGCTGGACCTGTCCGATTTTCCGCGAAAATCCAAGAACAACTGTTCCAAGATTCGAAAACGTATCATTGTGTTTTCCAGATTTTTTTCAGGGAAATCTTGGACAACTTTTTTTAAACACTTTGATACACTAAGCACCCAGAGGTTTGCTGCAAATTTACCACCTCTGGGCGCTGGGACCGCCAGGAAGGGCCTGGGACCAGTGGCGCTCAGGACGGGGAGATTCTGCCGTGCGTTGCAAATCTCATGGCATCTCCAACATTGTTTCGTTGTTTCGTGGGTTACATACACAGGAACACGCACACACACAAATATATGTATATGTACAAATGGAGGAACACGTTCCATGTTGTTTTTTTTGAAGGACGTCTAAGTTAGCCATGACACATGTTGATCCATCTAGGGTATTGCACCTGGCATCATCGTTGTGCTGATACAAAGTGATAGCACCATGTGTTTTCGGGATGTCCAACATCCTTTCAAGTGAAGTGATGCCTGGAAATTCTGGCTAACTTCACTGAGGGAACGATCCCCAGGGGTTTCTTCCTGAAATTCCAGCGATTTTTCCACCAAAAACTACACATTCAGGTGATTCAGATCGATGGAGCGGCCGCGGGCGGTGAGCATAGGTCCGGCCAGGAAAGGGGGCATTTCTACGGAGTTTGGATGGGATTATGAAAAATAGGGACTTCACCAATTCAGAATCTATATCTGGAATACTTTGAATACTTTGAATACTTTGAATACTCATGTGCCAAGTGGGTCCAAATGGGTCCAGGTAAAAACAGGGTGAACCATTCGTTGTCGACAGCTCCAGGGGCGCCCTGGATTCGATACGAGATGAATTGGAGGCTGTGGACCTTAGGAGATAAGAAAGGCTAAAGAGTGGGATATGGTCATTGAGTCATGGGTCAAAACCTATAGTCTACATAGCTGAGCCAGTTTTTTTTGATGAGCATCCAGCTGTTCCCAGCAGTTTTGGTGGGAAAAGAATGTTGGCTTGCTCCATCTAATCGGTCAATTTCTCATGGCTAGACTTTCTATTGTTGACGTCGACATCCATTGGAGTTCTTGGCGACATGAAGCGTTTGGCTTGGCGATCTATGACGACTCCACCATCCCAAATCACCTCCATCAACCGCATCAACCTGCGCTCTCAGGTGCCGGCACCGCCGCCCCCACCGCCTGAAGAGGGGGATGACTTGCTGGATTTGATGGATAACGCCTAGGACTGGCAAGTGTGGCTTAGCATAAAACATGTGACAAACCCAAGCACAATCATTCCTGAAATGCTACAGGGTAAGTTTATTATCAGGTTTACGGTTTACTACATTCATGGCAAAATTTGGAGGAATGTCATGGCCGCTGCAGGAGCTCTCTGCCAGCTGTGATGCTTCGGCTGGTACTGTACTGGCTGCACTCCAACAACCCCTAAACCTCATCATTTCCCCAAATGGATCCGGAACGGATTTTTGTTGGAAACAAATTGAACATTTTCGCACATCTCAAGACATGTGAACCACATATAGGTACTATAGCGTCACCAAGGGTCAAGCCCCTCCTACAATGTTACAAGCCAGCGCGGCGACACGACTAACAGAGGGGCATTGCCCTGAAGCGCAGACGGTTGCTGTCTTGATCAATAGTTGATGTGTACATGAACACCTCCATTTCTATGTACAGAGCACAGAGAGAGAGAGAGAGAGAGCCCTTTTCAATACTGGATTTTATCTTCATTTGGCATACAATCCTTAGAATATCTTTTGCCTTGATGTCCTCATTTTGATTCACTTTGGCAAGAGGGAACTCGAGTTGTTGCACCATGGATAGCTAATTAGAAGGTGTCCGTTAACCTTCCTTAAGTTCACCAGCATGGACATGGCTGTCACCATACATGTGCCGCAACTGGGGAACCCCCAAGGTCCACAACTTGAAAACCTGATTTTGGGCCAGAAAGGACACACCAAAAGAAAGACTCACATTGGAATCATTGGAAGCCTCGACGTTTTCCTTGGCATAACATGTCCGGAAGCCGCTGCCCGCTGCGCTTCAAAAATCAGTTTCACGTCCAGAGAGACCGGGTGTCCACACCAGGGGCCCGTGCCGTCGATTTCAGCGAGAAAAGGTAGAGATGACTTGCATCATGGAGGTTTGGACCCTTTGGGGATGTCTTTATGGTAAGGGATCCATCGAAATCAGTATGATTCAGTATGTTAGTTGCTTTTTTCCCATCCAAATAATATTAAACATCCCCAGAAACCGGTGGTTTACTAGGAAATTCACACACATTACACATGATATACTTATATATGTGTATTATTTCTATAGTTCCCTCCATGCAGATCAAGGTTGTGACCACCGGGCAGCGTTGCCAGATCTGCCAGGCGCCGAAAGGCCTGCAGAGGAGACCCATCCAAAGGTCCAATCAAGCGGATGTGACACATATATCAATAATATATCAATAATATATACAACTAATATATGAATTTTATCAACATATCAGGAATCACGGGGATATTTCATTGAGATCTATACAAAAGGGATGTATTGTGATGGATGGATATGGAAAAACACATCTATAAGTGGATAGTGGAGAAGACATAATGGGACAACATGGGAATAAATGATGATAAATCTAATAATCCCTTCCCCCGTTCACATTAAACACCTCCCAGAAACCGTGGTTTTTCGTAGGGGATAACACCACATCTTTGGGACCATTCACCATGGGGGTGTTTCATATGAACGGGGGATGGGATTAATGGACCACTTGGGTCACATTCCGCCATGATTTGTAGATGATATGATGTTTCCAAAAAACATTTGTTGTTTATGTTGAACAAAATCAATCTCCCGAATCCCCAATCTCTCTTTCTCTCATACTGCTCATCCGCCCAACATCTTTCGTTTTTTTATTCTTGTTTCCAAATGTTTTACATTTTTTTCCAGGGTTTTCCGTCTTTTGCCCATGTTTTTCCCACGTTTTTCCCCATTGTTTTCCTATTTCTTTCCAACATTTCTCGAGTTTCTCTCTTTCTTTCCAACATGTTCCATTTTTTCCCCATGTTTTCCAATTTTCGTGTTTTTTTTTTCTGAAACCATCCCCAGCTGCGCTAGGAGCCACAGCCCAAGCGTCAGACCCTGGCCCTGGAGGCCCCGGATCAGACCCTGGCCCTGGAGGCCCCGGAGGCAGCGGAGGCGCCGGAGCAGGCCACAGCCAAGGACAGCCGGAAAGCCCAGGTTCGCTCTGGGGAAAATGATGATCCAATGGATTTCTGGTAGATTTTGATACATTTTTCAGATCGGAGTTTTGAGTTTTATTTGATTTTTTGGTTGTATGTTGTTGTTATTGCTATAATTTTCAAAGAGTATATAGGTGGAGTATAATGGGAACTGGAATTATTCTAGTTGTTGTTATTGGAAGAATCGATACACAGTATGTCTAAAATGTCCATGTGAATTCCATAAATGATGGGTGTATCGTTAACTCCAATATGTTTCTGGAAATGGGGAATTAAGACTATCTCAAAATTGTGATGGTTGTTTACAGCAAACGTGATGTCTGGATCATGTGAGAGCAACCATGAAGTAAGGTGACCATCAATGGTGGTGAAGATGAAGGGACATGAAAATTTGACGGCCCAACGGTTTTTTCTGGGATTGATGACAAACTGTCTAGATAGGAAGCTATTATATAAATTATATACTTAATAAGGAAATGAGGTTTGAAACCACAGGATAGCCACGAGACGTTTTTGTGAAAACTGGTGACATCAAACCCTCAAGGACATCCATCCATCCATCATTCGATGGAAAGCGATCATTTTGGAGCCCTTAGCCCTTGGCCATTGTCTGAGTTTGACGTAGTTTTTAACTAAGGTGAAATGGAGGCAGTGGAAGAGAAGTGAAGCCATGAGGGTTTCTGAGAGGGAAAAAAGGACTTCGAAGTCGAAGCCGCAGAAGATCTGGATATGGGATGATATGCGTCACAATTTCAATCCATGGATGCGCAACAATTATGCTTAGCAACTGGGTATTGAACCATCCAGTATTGGAGCCCAACTTGACCCTTACACAGTCGGCCATCAGCATATCACCATTGCCTTCAACCGCCAGGCGTTGATCCCTGGATTTCTGACAGCTTTCTGCTCAAGAGATGCCATGCCGCGTGGAAATGGCTGATGGCCCAGGCTGCACACAGTTTTTGCTCGAACGAGTCACACTGAAAAACCGCGCGAGCATTTCAGGGCAGAACTCCGATTCTAGCCAGAAAAGCCTCCAAAGCCAGCTTTCTGTTTGTCTATCAATTCATGTTGGTCCCACAGAACTGGGCAATGTTGACGCAGCTAATTTGAGCCACCTCTGGGCAGTGCTTAGCAACATTTGCTGTGGCTCCACATTGTGGCCGTGATGAGCTATGTGTGCGGTCGACACCAGGCGGCTCTGGGAGCCCTGCTTCTTTTGGAAGGAGGAAGACACGGCAACATACGAAATATATCTACATATAGATAAGTATCTATTAATATGCACTAAAGATTAACACACACACACAAATATACATATATATAGAATTATATATATATAGAATTATACAACTATATATACATATAGAAATATGTGTGGATAAGTTACCACTTTAAACGATGGTTTACGGGAAATCCCTTGAGGTTGGTGAATCCCCCATCCGACAAAACATGACAGGGACCAACCAACCGCCGGAAAAAACTCCACGCACTTGTGAACAATCTTGTTCACATGTCGATAATCTCTATTTTCGATGTAGTTTTCAACATACTGAACAAACATCGATCTTCAATAAGATGAATAAGTTCAATCTCTTCGAATCTCTATGTTCAACATTTTTCAATCAGAGAAACCCTCTTCAGGGCCAATCTATTGATGGAATAAGATCAATAAGATCCATAACGTTTTTTTTTGGTTCAGTCTCTTTTAACCCCGATCTTCAACATTTTTCCACCAAGGTTCATTGGTTCAACCCGATTTCCCACCCGAAAAACCTCAGGGCCGCACCTGGCTTGGGCTTCTGCTTCTCTTGGCAGCCGCTGGCTCTGCAGAGGTGCGAATTTTCGAGAACAACTCACCGTCTGACGTGTTTTTTTTTTTTTTGGGGGGGGAAAACTCCAGCAGTTTATATGTTTTCTTTGAACAAAACATGGGAACATACTACTTAAATCATCTGAAATCTAGTTCATAAATGGTGTTTTTTTACTAATTTAGATGATTTCAAGTGGCTATTCAGAGGTGGATTTGTCCAATGAGACAACTTTTGGGTGCACTATTTTCAGACAAACCTAGCCGTTTGGGAAATCCCATTCTTCAGAAGGACATTGATCGGGAAACTTGACCAAGGCCGGCAAGGACTTGTACCGGACCCTGGGAGTGCCACGAAGCCTCTTGGGCTGCGAGAAGCCACGGCGATTTTTTTTTGTGAATCCTATAGGGCTGTGTTGAGAAATGGGTTTGTTTGAAAATAGGGGAGACTATAAATTGCCGTTTAATAATATTTAATATATAAGGCAAATGGTGATTATCCGATGAATTTTGGGGTAATTACCCTATTTTCAGACTTGCCATTCGGTGCATCCTCTCTTCACATGGCAAGGTGCAAGCCAACAGCAGATTAAGAAGGCACCCGAGACGGCGTCTTTATTGTATATGACTGTGGCGACTGTGGGAAAGGAATGGTTATGAATGGTTATGATATATAATGTAATCCCCATTATTATCAATAATCTGGCCTATGGTGGGTATAGATATATAATCAATCGTGGCTACATAGTGAGTATATACCTAGTAGCTGGTTAAGAACCCAACTGTTTTTGGAAACTTTCGGGTGCTTTTCCGGGTCCGACACTGTATGGGGATTGCCATCCAAGTTTGGGGGTCAGTGATCATGGTGCTTCAAAGCCTCATTTTCCTCATTTTCTTGGACATCAGAGGCAAACTCATTGAATCCCCAGCTATTAAACCTCCATTGTTCAATCACCTAGATTAGATAGACTATGATAGACCCCCAATTTAGAAGGACCATGTCTATCCATTTTGAAGGACCCTGAGATTTCGCGCTGCCAGGCTTACCGAAAGTTGTCCATGAGATGGCATCCAGACAAGAATCAGGACGACAAGGCGCCATTCTTTTTTCCTGGACGTGAAGGATTTTAGGACTGGACCACGACGTGACGACGTGAAAACAACGTATATAATGATGAGGTATAGTATCAGTATAGATAGATTTAGATTAGATTAGATTAGATTAGATTAGATTAGATAGATAGACAGATAGACAGAATTTGGGTAAACCACCCCAATGTGACTTTCTTTCAAGCTGGCGGATCATGATGTCTACATTTCAGCCAGAAGGCCATCATCCTGTCTCCGGAAGCAGCTCATGTTGCCAGGAGAAAGCTCAGAAAAAGTTTATCGAAATTAGTCATGCCTATGAGGCCCGGCTGGTCAAAGAACTAGTCTTGGGGGCTGTTTTCATGATGTCAGTGGATATTTGTAATCAAAAACTTGGTACAGCAAATTTCTGCAGTTTCCTTCTCAAATTTTCCCGCCCCTTGAAGCCTTCGTGAAGGTCCTCAGTGACTCCGAAAAAAAGGCAAAGTATGACAAATATGGCGAGGCAGCTGCTCAGCTGGGTCGATCGGCAGGACATCGGAATTCAATAAAGTTTAAGATAGGTCGAACCAACATGTTTATGATGAAGTGATATATATATATATACACAGTATATGTCATAGATATATAGATATATAATAGACATAGACATGAATATTGATAAATATTGTATGTATCTTTGTTATGTTCCGTCAAGTGAGATTTCTACTTCCCGTTTTTCATGGATGGTGTAGTTGGTCCAGGCTGGCCTCAATGAAGGACAGGGCGGCCATGGCGGTGGTGGCTTCCAAGGCCTTGGATGATTTTTTGGCGACAACCTAAGATTTGTAGTCCAAGAATCTATAGAAATAATTAAAATCTTCCAATCTTGGATTTGGGTACATTTATTTGGGCTCAAACTCCAAGAGGACACTGTTTTGATCTTGGCCCTCGTGACACTTGTGTTTTTTTGGTGGGTTCAAATATGCGAAGCTGAAGCATTTTTGGCCAACCATAGCACCCTGCAGGCCAAGATCCATTCGAAATGTCTGGGCCTTGGGTGATGTGTTCGTCATTTCGGGAGGCTGAAAAACGAGATGCGCGGATATGGAAGACAAACCATGCTGTTGAGCTTAGGTTTCGCGCATTCTTTGGTGGTGGTGGAGGAGGTGCAAGCATCAGAAGTTATGTGTACCTCGTTCAAAAGTTGGATGATTGGATGATATACTCATCGGGATGGGCATCAATAGGAATTTATATGAAGTCATATAATTTCATATACCCATTCTGATCATTCTGTTAGGACGATATCCCACTATGGGATGGATGATACCTCGTACCTCGTATACCATGTTTTGACATGTTTTGACTATGGTTTTTGTCCAGCCATCCAGTGGTAAAAATCGAGGGTTTCACCTTTGACCGGCTCAGCTTCCTGGTCTAGGCCAATCAGCAAGATGCCAGAGATGTGATGGAAACCTGCAAAGCTGGTGCAGAATCCGAATGCATCAAAATACAGGCAAAACACACATGAAAAGAGATTTCTTGGTAACAATGGCAAGTGGTTTTTTCGATGTTTACCATGTTAGGCCAAACGTGGTAGCACCATGTAGCACCATCTTCACCGGGAATCCCTTGCAAGTGGTATCTGTTGCTGTAAGATGCAACGAAGTTCGCCATGGAGCGGGTGAAATCCCTTCCATGCTGGGATTGCAAGGAGGCCGGTGAATCCAGTTGGGGTCTATACAAACCTGGGATGGCTAAAGGATACTAAAGTAAAGGATAGTAAAGGTATTAATGTCTTTTTTTGCCATCTATGGTGACACATAATCACTAGTACTTGGTATCAAGCTGAAAAAAGTTCTGTGCAAGGTTTCTTAAGACTGATTGTATGTCATAGCGCCCCCGTTTGGCTACATGTCAAACATGTCAAAAAAAACGAGCGCAATCAATCCAATCCCAGGGTTGTGGAGTAGTTCGAGCTTACTCTCCGCAGCTGAATTATGCCATTTTCCCCAGCAGATGCCAGGTGTCAGTCCGACCCTTGAAAGAATTGGTTGAGGAGTTGCATTTGGGTGAAGGTAGAACCAATCAGAACTTCATTGTGGCTCGACTGCGGCAGGGGAACGTGAGCAGTATGGCAGATATGGCCAACGATGCTGGTGCGATCAAGCAGAATGATATCAATGAGACCTTTCTGGTACATTTCTGTGGCAACTCAAAATCTCTCAAAGCCAGAGTCTTGACAGAGTCGAGCGAAATCGGTGCGCACAGTGCTGACAGTTGTCGCTGACAGCTGTGAGGTGGAGGGTGATGGCTCGCAGCGCTACTTCGTGCGCATGGGCGCGGACCTGCCTTTCTATGGTGTCAGCCGTGCCCGCGAGCAGGTACCATTTAAGGGGCCATTGTCTCACAATGCCATCTGTGTGTCGTGTTTTTCCATGAAAGAGGACACTGAGGACACCCAAAATGCTATGGAAAGAACTGAAACAACAGGGGTTATATGACGTTATAAATGTTACTGTATATGATGATTTACAAAGAACAACTGGGAAAATACCTTCCTGGTGCTGCTAGGCAGCTGCGCGTGCTGCAGAGGCAGCAGGCATCGGCCCTGCTGTGAGGCCCGCGAGTGAACACTGGCAACGCACTGGGAGAATCTGGGAGATAGTATAGGAATGTCTGATACATTCTAATACACACATTCTACATACCTACCTACCTACTTACCTACCTAACGTACGTACGTACGCGTAGGGACGTAGGTACGCGTAGGGACGTAGGTACAGACGTAGGTACGTAGATATGTAGGTACCTATAGGTACGTAGGTACGTAGGTACGTAGGTACGTAGGTACCTTTATAGGTAGGTACGTAGGTGGGAAGGTAAGTGGTACGTAGGTAGGTAGATAGGTAGGTAGGTAGGTAGGTACGTAGGTACGTATGGGTACGTATAGGTACGTATAGGTACGTGTAGGTACGTGTAGGTACGTGTAGGTACATGTAGGTACATGTAGGTACGTGTAGGTACGTGCAGGTATATACGTGTAGGTATATACGTGTAGGTATATACGTGTAGGTATATACCTGTAGGTATATACGTGTAGGTATATACGTGTAGGTATATACGTGTAGGAATATAGGTGTAGGTATATACGTGTAGGTATAGACGTCTAGGTATATACGTGTAGGTATATACGTGTAGGTATATACGTGTAGGTATATACGTGTAGGTATATACGTGTAGGTACAGACAAACAGACAGACAGACAGACAGACAAACAGACAGACAGACAGACAGACAGACAGACCGACGTACGTACGTCGTACGTATGTATCTTGAAATTGATGTAGCATATCTAGATATGTATGGAGTCACCTGAGCTGGAGTTGTTCGTTTAACAGCGCAAGGCACACGGAGCCGGACATCATGGTGGCCTTCCAGCTGCAAGGATCATCCCATGGTAGTTGTGGTCGTGGGAGCCAAGGGTTTCCCAGATTGGGGTAGGTATTCTATAACCAGTAAAGATCCAAGCGACTAAGTCCGACATGAAGCTGATGATGATAGCCGATTAGTTTTCGTGGTTTTTGGCGGTCTTTTTGCGATTTTTGATATGATCAGCATCAAAGCACCGACTTTGATCGTATTTGTCTTCATTTGACCATAGAATCTTGGTACCGGGTGGGACAGACTCTTCAGTCAGGGAAAGACTCTTGACTCATACACAAGTGAAAGGTTCCGATTTGGAAAGGGCTATTTTGATTCTTGCGTTCACAAATGGGGGAAGACCAAAAGGCATGACTTAGGCATGACTTCGTGATGTTGCGTTCACAAGCGGGGAAAGCAAAAGGAGTGACTTAGGCATGACATTGTCGCGTCGCTGTATCTGTCCAATTCTTCCCCATCTAGTTGGGTCCTCCGAACAGTAACCATTGAGACCATTGAGTAATGTGGTAAACCCAATATATAATTAATAGTCACCAGCCCCATTGCATCACCGTGCTTATGGGTGGGACTACAACCATCCCTAGTCATGGTAGCTGGCATTGGAGTCGATCCCAAGGTGGACTTTGTTGAGGGCTCCCGAGCTTTGACGGAGGCGCTTCTTGGGAGCAGCCAATGGCATTTTTATGGGACCACCTTGTTGGGATTTGTCGTATTTCCTTGTGATTTTGGGTTTCATACATCCAAATTTTTGGCAATTTAACACCATTTTGGTGAGTTCTATCCGACAATTCTATCCACATTTTGGGTCGTTGAACCATCCATTTAAAGTCGACATTTTCGACCAGGTAAGTCCCCTCAGCAAGATTGGCGGTGCTTAAATCCTGCAACCTTGTTGGTGAAAAAAATCAACGTTTTGGCGATGCACTCCCAGTTATAAATCAGATATACCCCTAGTGATATGGCTATTATATGGTTTCCTAAACTGGGGGTACCGCAAATATCCCCAAATCATCATCCATTTCCATCCATTTCTAATGGGATTTTCCATCAACAAAAACCAGCTGGGGACTATGGCCAGGCCGACCTCCACCAGGCAGGTCAGGAGGGCCCTGGCTCCAGCTTGTTGCGCTCCGTTGCAGCAACCTTGCGACGGCTGCATGAGATCCCGGTGCCGAAGGAGATGGAGGCGCGAACGGTTATGGGGGGTCAAGTCATCGGCCGAAACGAACAGTTATGGTATAGATGGCCCATTTATAGATCTTTTAGAGAAACTTGCTGATTTTCAATAGCTATGTTAGTTACGAGTTAGTTTACATGGAGGTTTCCAAAGTCATGGGGGGGTACCCCTAGTTATCATCTAAGTCGTGGATGACCATGACTTAGTATCGAAACCAATGGTGACTTGGGGATCCCAATCTTAAGAAACTCCCACATACAGCTATGGAGAAATTGCCCATTGATAGATCTTTTACTGATAAACAATTGGTGATGTTCAGTAGTACTTCAAGTCATTGCTTGGGGAAAATCGAAAGGACATTTCCCAATTGCTTGGATGTTCTTTTTTAGACCACAAATTTGGAATGATGGAAGGTAGTCTCCAGTAAGCCAAGCCTGGTAACGATCAAACCTGGAGATTTTCTGTTGCCGCGTTTTGTTACCAGAGGAGAAGCCCAATGGAGTATTGAACAGTTCCATTCTTCACATTTTGTTTACATTCTGAATGTATTTTTTCTCTATCACATGCATTCATATTCTATCATATTCTATGCCCCTTTTTGATCCTACTTTTGGTCGTTTTTTTCCTTGAAACCCGCCATCTTTTCCCAGAAAAAAAACATGAAAAACCCTGCCTCAGACAGGCCTTCCTGGCCCAGATTGGTGGCGTGGGATGGGGTGGACCTCATCTGGAGAAGTGGCTCAGATACGCCGAGGAAACTCTTCAGTTCCCAATGTCATGTCATTTCATATAGGATATTGATATTTATTCATATTTCATGTGTATATATATAATATATAATATATAATATGTAATATACAATATATAATATGTAATATATAGAATGTATAATATGTAATATATAATATGTAATATATAATATATAATATATAATATATAATATAGGGGTTGGGCGTCCCTGGGTTAGAACCTGGGGCTAGTGCCACCCTTTTTACCACCGGAGTGGTTTGGGCAAAACCTTGGGTTCAGGAATTCAGCCCGTGCAATGATGGTAATGTGATTTTTTATCAAAATCTCAGTCCCTAGGTTTTCAGACACCGGGCCTCGTTAACAGAGAAATCTTTGAAAATGTTGGGCCACCAGGTTTTCAGCCCTGTGACACAACAAACTTGAAAAACACTGGGAATGTTGCATCATAGGTTTTTAGCCCCTGTGGATGACTGCATGATACTGCATGTGGCCACTGTAGATGTTGCATTATAGATATGTATTCATAAATGTATCTATATCAGTATGTATGCATATATACAGTGCATACATATACACAGAATATGCATGGGAACAAATCAAACGGGTTTTTTAGACATATCTTGTAATAGGGGTCTGGTGCCCCTGTCTTAAAACCTGAGGCTGGTGCCGCCCTTTTTTTACCACCGGAGTGGTGGCTGAAACATATGGGCAAAACCTTAGACTCAGCAATTCACCACCTGCAATGATGGTAGTCTGGTTTGATGTCGAAATCAAGGGCCCGAGGTTTTCAGACACCGGGCCTCGTGAGCAGAGAAATCTTTAAAGATGTTTGGCCACCAGCTTTTCACCCCTGTGACAAAACAAACTTCAAAAACACTGGGAATGTTGCATCATAGGTTTTTAACCCCTGTCCTTGAACAACGGTGAAGAAAAATGATGACTGCATATGGCCACTGTGGATGTTGCACTATAATACACTATATAGATATGCGCTCGCATATGCTTTATTTAAATATAGGATATACACGCACATGTTTCTGTAACGGGAAAATGATGATCAAACACAGTACTGTCAGACACACCTGGTGTCTGATGGTGTCTGTTTTTCCAGATGGCATGGATGATTGTGATGTTTTCACTAAAACATGCATGAACCTTGGGCCCAGGTATTTACCCCGGAGAACCAAAACACGGAGCAAGCTCGGAGACCCGCAAACCATGCAAAACTGGCTACATCGGTGGACTTCAAGGGGACCCCCCTTTGTGGATGCAAAAATGGTTCAAAAACAACAATTTTAAATAAGGGTTTTAATAAAGAACAATTGGCCTAAAGTTTTGGAATTTTAGTGCTTATGGTTGGCCCGGTTAAACCTGCCACCTCCCCCAGGATCCGCAGGTCAACAAGCATCTCATACAAATCTGGGACCTTGGGACCAGGTATTTAACCCCAGAGGATCTAGAAAGGATTCATCCAAAGAACATGTGGATCTGTTTGGCTCTCTTCAGGCATTGTTCTCAGGCCCAAGTTTTTCAACCCGTGCCTTCTCTTCAGCTTCTTGTCACTTTCCATCTGCCTGGGCACGGGGCAGCCGGAAATAAATCAAAAATTGAGGGCGTCAACAAGATTGCGTCATTTCCCAAAAAGTAAATTGGTTATACAAACAACCGGAACTTTACCTCTTTATCTACTGGATCTTCCGTTGATTCCTGCGGATCATTTTTTTCACGGACAAAAATCCAAACAATTGATTACATTGATTGGTTGAGCAATTTTTTCGTCAACGCATTCCAAAACAGTGTTATCAGTGATTGGGAAAACAAAACCAACAAAACCTAAACAAGTCAAACCATCCCAGACTTTCGGCTACACCTCGGTGTTCTTATCCGGCATCGCCGGCGCATCGTCCACCTGGAGAGAGCATCTGAGTGCAATTGCAACGGGATCCGAGGAAATGGATGATTATGATGTTTTCACTAAAACATGCATGAAACTTGGGCCCAGGTATTTACCCCGGAGAACGAAAACACGGAGCAAGCTCAGGGACCCGCAAACCATGCAAAATTGGCTACATCGGTGGACCTCAAGGGGACCCCCTTTGTGGATGCAAAAATGGTTCTAAAACAGCAATTTTAAATAAGGGTCTTAATAAAGAACGACTGGCCTAAAGTTTTGGAATTTTAGTGCTTATGGTTCGCCCGGTTAAACCTGCCACCTCCCCCAGGATCCGCAGGTCAACAAGCATAGCATATCACACAAATCTGGGACCTTGGGACCAGGTATTTAACCCTAGAGGATCTAGAAGGGATTGACCCAAAGAACATGTGGATCTGTTTGGCTTTCTTCTGGCATTGTTCTCAGGCCCAAGTTTTTCAACCCTTGCCTTCTCTTCAACTGCTTGTCCCTTTCCATCTGCCTGGGCACGGGGCAGCCGGAAATAAATCAAAAATTGAGGGCATCAACAAGATTGCGTCATTTCCCAAAAAGTAAATTGGTTATACAAACAACGGGAACTTGACCTCTTTATCTACTGGATCTTCCGTTGATTCCTGCGGATCATTTTTTTTCACGGACAAAAATCCAAACAATTGATTACATTGATTGGTTGAGCAATTTTTTCGTCAACGCATTCCAAAACAGTGTTATCAGTGATTGGGAAAACAAAACCAACAAAACCTAAACAAGTCAAACCATCCCAGACTTTCGGCTACACCTCGGTGTTCTTATCCGGCATCGCCGGCGCATCGTCCACCTGGAGAGAGCATCTGAGTGCATCTGCAACGGGATCCGAGGAAATGGATGATTATGATGTTTTCACTGAAACATGCATGAACCTTGGGCCCGGGTATTTGCCCCGGAGACCCAAAACACGGAGCAAGCTCGGAGACCCGCAAACCATGCAAAACAGGCTACATCGGTGGACTTCAAGGGAACCCCCCTTTGTGGATGCAAAAATGGTTCAAAAACAACAATTTTAAATAAGGGTCTTAATGAAGAACCACTGGCCTGAAATTTTGCAATTTTAGTGCTTATGGTTGGCCCGGTTAAACCTGCCACCTCCCCCAGGATCCGCAAGGTCAACAAGCATCAACAAATCGGTGGCGTCATTTCCCAAAAAGTAAATTGGTTATACAACAACCGGAACTCTACCTCTTTATCTACTGGATCTTCCGTTGATTCCTGCGGATCATTTTTTTTCACGGACAAAAATCCAAACAATTGATTACATTGATTGGTTGAGCAATTTTTTCGTCAACGCATTCCAAAACAGTGTTATCAGTGATTGGGAAAACAAAACCAACAAAACCTAAACAAGTCAAACCATCCCAGACTTTCGGCTACACCTCGGTGTTCTTATCCGGCATCGCCGGCGCATCGTCCACCTGGAGAGAGCATCTGAGTGCATTGCAACGGGATCCGAGGAAATGGATGATTATGATGTTTTCACTAAAACATGCATGAAACTTGGGCCCAGGTATTTACCCCGGAGAACAAAACACGGAGCAAGCTCAGGGACCCGCAAACCATGCAAAATTGGCTACATCGGTGGACCTCAAGGGGACCCCCTTTGTGGATGCAAAAATGGTTCTAAAACAAAATTTTAAATAAGGGTCTTAATAAAGAACGACTGGCCTAAAGTTTTGGAATTTTAGTGCTTATGGTTCGCCCGGTTAAACCTGCCACCTCCCCCAGGATCCGCAGGTCAACAAGCATAGCATATCACACAAATCTGGGACCTTGGGACCAGGTATTTAACCCAGAGGATCTAGAAGGGATTGACCCAAAGAACATGTGGATCTGTTTGGCTTTCTTCTGGCATTGTTCTCAGGCCCAAGTTTTTCAACCCTTGCCTTCTCTTCAACTGCTTGTCCCTTTCCATCTGCCTGGGAATGGGCAGCCGGAAAAACAATCAAAAACTGAGGGTGCCAACAAGATTGCGTCATTTCCCAAAAATTCAATTGGTCATGCAAACAACCGGAACTTGACCTCTTTATCTACTGGATCTTCCGTTGATTCCTGCAGATCAGTTTTTTTCGCGGACAAAAATCCAAACAACTGATTACATTGATTGGTTGAGCCATTGTTTCGTCAACGCATTCCAAAACAGTGTTATCAGTGATTGGGAAAACAAAACCAACCAAACCTAAACAAGTCAAACCATCCCAGACTTTCGGCTACACCTCGGTGTTCTTATCCGGCATCGCCGGCGCATCGTCCACCTGGAGAGGGCATCTGAGTGCATCTGCAACGGGATCCGAGGAAATGGATGATTATGATGTTTTCACTAAAACATGCATGAAACTTGGGCCCAGGTATTTACCCCGGAGAACGAAAAACACGGAGCAAGCTCAGGGACCCGCAAACCATGCAAAACTGGCTACATCGGTGGACCTCAAGGGGACCCCCTTTGTGGATGCAAAAATGGTTCAAAAACAACAATTTTAAATAAGGGTCTTAATGAAGAACAACTGGCCTAAAGTTTTGGAATTTTAGTGCTTATGGTTCGCCCGGTTAAACCTGCCACCTCCCCCAGGATCCGCAGGTCAACAAGCATATCACACAAATCTGGGACCTTGGGACCAGGTATTTAACCCCAGAGGATCTAGAAGGGATTGACCCAAAGAACATGTGGATCTGTTTGGTTCTCTTCGGGCATTGTTCTCAGGCCCAAGTTTTTCAACCCTTGCCTTCTCTTCAACTGCTTGTCCCTTTCCATCTGCCTGGGCACGGGGCAGCCGGAAATAAATCAAAAATTGAGGGCATCAACAAGATTGCGTCATTTCCCAAAAAGTAAATTGGTTATACAAACAACGGGAACTTGACCTCTTTATCTACTGGATCTTCCGTTGATTCCTGCGGATCATTTTTTTTCACGGACAAAAATCCAAACAATTGATTACATTGATTGGTTGAGCAATTTTTTCGTCAACGCATTCCAAAACAGTGTTATCAGTGATTGGGAAAACAAAACCAACAAAACCTAAACAAGTCAAACCATCCCAGACTTTCGGCTACACCTCGGTGTTCTTATCCGGCATCGCCGGCGCATCGTCCACCTGGAGAGAGCATCTGAGTGCAATTGCAACGGGATCCGAGGAAATGGATGATTATGATGTTTTCACTAAAACATGCATGAAACTTGGGCCCAGGTATTTACCCCGGAGAACGAAAACACGGAGCAAGCTCAGGGACCCGCAAACCATGCAAAACTGGCTACATCGGTGGACCTCAAGGGGACCCCCTTTGTGGATGCAAAAATGGTTCAAAAACAACAATTTTAAATAAGGGTTTTAATAAAGAACAACTGGCCTAAAGTTTTGGAATTTTAGTGCTTATGGTTCGCCCGGTTAAACCTGCCACCTCCCCCAGGATCCGCAGGTCAACAAGCATAGCATATCACACAAATCTGGGACCTTGGGACCAGGTATTTAACCCCAGAGGATCTAGAAGGGATTGACCCAAAGAACATGTGGATCTGTTTGGCTTTCTCCTTATTGTTTCCCTTAATATTTCCCCATTACGTTCCCTAGTATTTCCCAATAAGTTCCTGCTTGCTTCCCGATTATCCCTTTGATGTTCCGATTATTTTCTTATTCTATCCCTAGTGTTTTCCCTAATCTTTCCCTATCATGTCCCCCATGATGTTCCCTATTATTTTCAGATGATGCGAAATGAAAGCCCAATGATCAAAATGGTCAGGACGATTCGGATGCAATTTTTAGGTTAGCGATGTTAGCGGCAATTAGAGACACTTGAATTTTGGCATTGCGCTGGGGATCGGCCGGGAGCGTAGCCAAGCGGGAAAAAAGTGAAGTTGGGCCTGTGAATCTTGGGCTGAAGGTTTTAAGCATCATATGCGAAAGTAAGCTGTTTTATGTTGAAATGTTGGGATCAAGGTTTTCACCTCTAGGTTAGCGAAGAACCTCAAAATTGCTAAAATGTTGGGCCAAGGTTTTCAACCCTGCCTTAAAAACCTTGGACCCTAGGAATCCATCCACCTAGAGGTGGCTGAATACCTTGGCACTACCCCCCTGTGCACACCCAACCCCTATTATAATGTATAATATATAAAATATGTAATATATAATATGTAATATATAATATATAATATGTAATATACAATATATAATATGTAATATATAGAATGTATAATATGTAATATATAATATGTAATATATAATATATAATATATAATATATAATATATAATGTATAATACATAATGTATAATATATAATATATAATATATAATATTTAATATATAATATATAATATGTAATATACACTATATAATATGTAATATATATAATATATAATATGTAATATGTAATATGTAATATATAATATATAATATATAATGTACAATATATAATGTATAATATATATAATATATAATATATAATAAATATATAATACATAATACATAATATAATATATATAATACATTATATATAATATATAATACATAATATATAATATTTAATATATAACATATAATATATAATATATAATATATAATATTTAATATATAATATATAATATGTAATATATAATATATAATATGTAATATATAATATGTAATATGTGATATATAATGTATAATATATAATATATAATGTATAATATATAATGTATAATATATAATATATATAATGTATAATATATAATACATAATACATAATATATAATACATTAATAATATATAATATATAATATATAATATTTAATATATAATATATAATATATAATATATGATATATACCTGTAGTGTTTAGCTTTCAACATTTCAAAGGATGGCTGTTTCTTTCACATCTTGATTTTTTTTCCAGCTTCACGAAAGTTTTTTGCGATGGCTGTTTGCGCTGGGGTTTCCAGCGGTTACCGCAGGAGGAAAGATATTCTCGGCTGCCACTGCTGTCGGGTTTGCGGGAGCTGATTGAGCAGCTGAATCTGGCTGCAGGCGCCGTGTCTCGGGACGTTGATGGGCCTGAACCGTTTTGGGTGTTGACTGGTTTTGATTTTTGGAGTCCTGATTTCCTTGGCAAAACATAAGACATAACCGCTCTCAAACATCAGAGTACATAGCTCAGTGGCGATGCTCACCCTCCCATTTTTCTGGGGTCAAGATACCAATTTTTGTGTTCTCAAAGCTCGATTCCCCGCTACCAGTGGATTCCTGTTTTGAGGACCAATGGGTCCCAACAAGTTCTGTCACTTTGACCTTTTGGCAGACAACCTGGTCTTGAAGAATCTTGCCCAAAAAGATTTAAACGCGGACTGGATATGAGGAAAGGCTAGTTTCTGGGTAATATAAAATAGCCGACCCAGTTGTATGGATATATTTATGTATATATATATATATTTATGTATATATATATATATTTATGTATATATATATATATATTTATGTATGAACAAACGGCCCCGGTTTTTAAGATGCATGACCGTTATGTTTATTTCCGAAGTGTTCAGATCAAGCTATAGTGAATGGTCTGTAGCAGATGTGGCACATTTGAAGGCGATCCTTGTGCTGTTTGCCGCACCATTAGCCGCATTGATAGTTTGGTCACCCTCTCCAAGCTAGGCCTACACCAGGAGGTCCCTGCGCTGAACGCGTTGAGAGTTTGTGCGGGAGCCTTGCAAGACCTAGTGGAGGCGCGGCTGGTGGCAGAGGAGAGTGACCAAAGCGAGAGCCGGGGGGAAGGCGAGCCCCTGTCAGATCGGGAGAGGACTCCTGAGAAGAAGGCAAAGAAGCGGTCAAAGAAAGGAGACAGAAAGGAAAAAGGCGATTCAAAGAAGAGCACAGACAAGGCAAAAGAGAAGAAGGAGAAGAAGAAGAGAGCACGCAAGAGCCGCTCAAAGAGTCCAGAGGAGGCGGGAGACGGAGTTTCTCCTGGAACATCACCTAAGGATAAGGCAAAGAAGGTCAAGGAGGAAGAGGCCGAAGTACATCCACCAGAAGGTGACGAAGAGCTTAGGAACCCGGGAGGACGCAGCTCAGGTTCAGGGCTACGCCGTATACCTCCTGCCGCAGAGGAGTTGCAGGATCACGTGGACGAGTTTGTGACAGCTCATCCAGATTCCTTCGAGCTTGCAACGCTGCCTGAACGTGGGAGTGGAGGTCCCGCAGGACGACCCGACGACGTCGGAGCTGGGGATACCCGCCGGCCTAGGGAGCCGGATCACCCACCGTCGGGGCGAGAGCGAGAGGAGGACGAAAGGGCCGCAATTCCAAGGAGGCGTGCACCAGCACCAAAGAAAAGCAAAGGGAGACAGCACCGGGAGAGAGGTTATCTCTACCGGGGTAGAGGGCGGAGGTAGGCGCAATGCCTCCCAAAGCCAAGGCAAAAGCGAAAGCGCTGGCAATGGCCAAGGTCCGGGCCAAGGCCAGAGCCAAAGCGAAAGCAGGACCACCAGCTATGCGTGTAGGCCGCAGGGCTATGAGGAGGCCAGCAGGTGGAGCAGACGAGGCGCCGATGGAGAGTGTCGAAGAGAAGTGGGCACGAGGAGCCGTGGTCAAGGTTGGGGACGTTCCCCCCATTCTGTTCTCAGAGGGGACGCCGGTTGTCCTCCCCAATGCCCACTATTACCTCAGGAGTTGCGCAGTAGCCGGGAGGCTGACAGGCTTGGAAGTCAAAGACGGGGCAATGTATGCCCTGGCCAGGCTTACGGGGACCACGGGGGAGGCCCTGTTGAAGTATCACACGGCCAACCCGGACGCCGTGTTTCGCGTTCACCTTTGCCGAGAAGACTGCAATCAACAAGAGGTTTCGGACTTGCTCCTGCACACCAAACAGATCCGACAGATTGTGGACATGGCCCAGGAGGAAGGATGGGTGTCGAACCTGGAGAAGGTCCGTCCCATGGAAGAAGGAGACGAGCTGGAGGTTCTTCGTGCTCGGCAGAGGGGGCTGGGCGGAGAGCCAAAAGTCGGGGACGGGGTCCCTGGAGGAGAACCAGAAAGGAGCAGGAAGGACAAGAAAGAAGACAGGAAGAAGAAGAAGGAAAAAAGGAAAGGAGTTGGAGACAGAAGAGGGAGGTCGGCATCATCAGAGGAGACAGTCAAGATGGATGGCACTATGGCCAAGCGGGCCGCCAAGAAGAAGCCCGGAGATTTGTTCCGAGGCACAGGGCTAGACCCGAAAGAAAAAGTGAGGAGACAAGTTGCAAAAAGAGCAAGACGAAGTATCAGAAAGAAGAGCAAGAAGGACGACTCCACCCTGTCCAGCGGGAGTACGGGCTCCTCGGGGGACAGCCAAGTCGAAGCCGAGGAGGAGACTGTCTTTCAACAAGCCTCCAAGGTGAGGCTGGTAGCTTCGGGGTTTCCGGGGACCCTGGCCAGCCAGACGCTGGCACAGATGAGGACAGTACTCCTCAGCGAAGTCGGAAGCGAAGATCGTCCTGGAGTCCTGAAAGGCTGCGCCCTGGCTTACTTCAGGCAGCACGTGAGCAAAAGGAGCACAGGGCCGGCACAGCGCGAGCTGTTGAGTATAGCTACCAGCATAGATATGATGCTGAGTGGCAACGCTGCACGAGCAATGGACATCCTTGTCCAACGGTTCAAGTCGGTCGAGAGTACACTGACCGGTTGCCATTGGACGGTGGCTCAACGGCTGGAGGTGGTTCCTCCCGACAATGTGCAGCTCACTCCAGCTCAGGAAATGCAGGATGCCCGCCGGAACGTCTACGAGGAGAGTCGACTTCGGTGGCTGGCGGCTCAGCCCGACGGGAGATCGGCCACAACAGCAGGAAAAGGAGCGAATCGCACGAAAGGAGAAGGCAAGGAACCCCCCAAGGGGACGGGCAAAGGACGTTGGGGCAAGGGGCCCCAAGGCAAACAGGATGCGAACAAGAGGAAGGACGAGGCCACCTCGAAGCCTTGATGGCTGGTTGGGACGAGTTGGTCGATGAGGCGAGGGTTTGGGCCCTTGATCAAACTATGAGAGGGTTCCCCCATCAGGAAGAGAATGGCTATGAAAGGGGATTGGCATCGGCCCCTTGCCATGGAAACGGAACCGGGGGCGACCTTCCGCAGCTTCCATATGATGAGAGACCAGCCTCAGAGGAGCTGCCGCAATCCTTGCATGTGGCCACCCCGATGAGGGTGGAGCAGAATTTATTGAGACCAGAACATCATGGCCAAGTGTGCCATGAGGAGGCGGTGGATTCGGCCGTAGAGATTACTGCTGGAGCTTTTGTGTCCGCCTCTAGAAAAAAGGATGCTCGTGACAGTGTAGCCGGAAAGCGCTTGGGAGAGTGTGGTGATCTTTTATCCAAAAAGCTTCTTGAGGTTTTGCCGCTTCGCAGCCAGACCATGGGTAAAGGTAAATCAGGCGGTATATTTCCTTTACCTACCTCCAGAAGCTGTTTTTTGGATTTGGAGCCCTTACTGAACGATGAAGAGTTGGCATGGATGGTGTGCGTAACTTCTTCTTTGAACTCTATGTGGGGTGGTGAAGTTTTCTTTGAGGCCATGGCTAATCACGCGCAGCGTAGATGCTTGGAGAACATTCTGAGAGAGGTTAAGAGGTTTTGTTCTATTCCCACGTGTTTAGAGGTTGCTGATTGGGACACGTTTTTTAGTATCCGGTCCGTCGACTACAGGGGATGAAGTCAAGGTGGCTAGGTCTTTTTGCTGGGCAAACATTGCACCTGCCTTACCGAAGGAAGTAGGTAAGGTTCCCCTTGTAGATCTCTGCTCTCACGGCTCTAAACACTATGTGGAGAACTTCGACCTATACCTCAAACCAAAGCAAGAATGGAAACTTCCAAAGGCGCCACGTGTGATGATTGAAGAGAAACACTGGCCAGAGATTTGTAGTGGCTTGGTCAAGGCTGGGGTGTGTACCTTTTTGGAAGAGTCAGAGGTTTTTCACACAGAGGAGGGCCCATTACTTAATGGGCTTTTTGGGGTTACCAAAGACGAGTGGACGGACGATGGCACGGAAATCATGCGGCTTATCATGAACCTGGTGCCGCTGAACTCGCTGTGCAAGCCGATGTCAGGGGATGTGGATACTCTGCCAGCATGGTCTGGCATGTCTCCCTTCTTTTTGCAGCCGTCCCAAAATCTATTGGTCAGCTCTGAAGACGTGAAATGTTTTTTCTATACTCTGTCGGTACCATTGTGCTGGGTAAAGTATCTAGCGTTCAACCGTTTGGTCCCAGACACAGCCATGCCGGAAGCCCTTCAGGGTAAGCGGGTCTATCTTGCCTCTATTGTCTTGCCTATGGGGTTCCTGAACAGTGTTAGCTTGGCACAGCAGGTGCATCGCAACCTTGTGAGGAACTCACAGCAGGGCACCACTGCATGCGGGAGTAATCCTCCTGAACAAGAGCTGAGGAAGGACCGTGCGTTCGTAGTAGCTGATTCACTGTGGAGGGTGTATCTCGACAACTACGATTTGTTGGAGAAGGTGGAGAAGACCAACATGGTGGAGCTGGAGGGCTCTCTGGCTCCTGGTGTTTTGGCACTACGGGAGCAATATGAGCGCTGGAATGTCCCACGCAACTTCAAGAAGTCAGTGCAGCGCTCTACCAGGGCTGAAGTCCAGGGAGCCACCGTGGATGGAGAGCTTGGAGTGGCATATCCCCGGGAGTCAAAGCTAGCCAAATACTTTGGTTTGGCGCTCCTGCTGGCTGGCCAGGAGAGGGCAACTCAGAAACACTGGCAGATAGTCTGTGGGGGTCTGGTCTATTTTGCAATGTTTCGGCGTCCTCTTCTTGGAGGTCTCAATCAGGTGTGGCGACATATCGAAGACTTCGAGAGCTCGGGCTCTCGGTGGGCGCCTACTTCACAGGACTGCCTCCTGGAAGTCTTGCGCTTCCTGGGCTGCTTGCCGCTTGCAAGGTTGGACTTCAGAGCAGATATGCACCCCCTGGTGACGCGTAGTGACGCCTCGACCCAGGGGGGTGGGGTTTGCGTCAGTGCAGGGACCACTCCCTTTGGCTCTATGGTTGCGCAGGGGCGCCTTCGAGGTGAACTGCCAGAAAGTCGCACAGGCGACTTAGTGCTTTCAGTGGGTCTCTTTGATGGGATCGGGGCGCTCAGAGTGGCCCTGGACACATTAGGAGTGCAGGTCATTGGGCACGTATCCGTGGAGAAGGAAGCAGCGGCCAGGCGGGTTGTTGAAGCTCACTACCCGGGGACGGTGTCCCTGTCAGCTGTGGAGGACATCAACGAGGAGGTCGTACAGAGCTGGGCAACTCGATTTTCACAGTGTGCACTTGTACTCTTGGGCGCAGGGCCACCCTGCCAAGGAGTCAGTGGACTCAACTGCGATAGGCAAGGGGCCCTTAAGGATGCTCGGTCGTCCTTGTTTTCGCATGTTCCGCGGGTGCGGGAGCTCCTGAGGCGGTTCTTTCCTTGGTGTCCGGTGTACACTATTATGGAATCAGTCGCATCAATGGATGAGGGAGATCGCTGCGTGATGAGCGAAGGGATTGGACACGCGCCTTTTTGGTGCAATGCAGGAGATTTCACCTGGTGCAACCGTCCAAGGCTGTACTGGATTGACTGGGAGATCGACGTGGAGGTACAGAGATCTGGTGATGGCGAGGGTGCATGGGCCCCTCGGGTGGTCACATTGGAAGGCCACCAGGACATCTCCAAGGTTCTACGCGGCGGCTGGATCAAGGTTGATCCTGATCATCCTTTTCCTACTTTTACCACATCACGACCCCGAGACAAACCAGGGAGGAAACCAGCGGGCATACAATCATGCACGGAGGCGGAGCTCGAGCGATGGACTAAGGATCTGCACAGGTTTCCACCGTACCAGTACAAGGAAATTCATTGCGTGGTTACCCGTGGTAATCTCCTGCGCGTACCGGATGTGGCCGAACGGGAGATTATGCTTGGGTTCCCTTTGCATTATACAGCTCCTTGCGTGTCAAAGACCGATCGCAAGGCGTCTTGGTATCAGGACCTCCGTCTATCACTTCTTGGAAACACATGGAGTGTTCCGGTGGTTGCGTGGTTTCTTGGACAATTGCTTGGACAGCTCGGTTTGACCCGCACTCCGTCCGCGCAAGAGATTTTGGACCGCCTTCAACCAGGGACAGCGGAAACTACGCAAGGGCGTTTGGTACGGTTGCCACTTAATCCAGAGCGCACATCCTCGGGGGACAGTTCGTATCCCCTGGCATGCAAACTTGGTAATCTCATTTCGATCAAAGGTGAAGACATTATGCTAACCACACCCTCAACCCAGATGGTTAAATTCCATCGTCTTCGTGCGAGTGTACCGTCCAGCCTCTGGCGCTGGCGCGTAGTAGCAGGTTGGCAGTGGTCACTTAGCAAGGAGCACATCAATAGCCTCGAACTGCGTGCCATATTGACGGCCCTCAAGTGGAGGATTGAACACCAACATCATTTTAACGTAAGGCTGATCCACCTTACAGATAGCTTGGTGTGCCTTCACTGCCTTACTAGAGGCCGGTCTAGTTCCCGACGCCTTAGACGTACTATGTCCCGGATTAACGCCCTGCTGTTGGCTTCAAATGCTCAGCCCCTCTGGGGCTATGTTCACACAGACCAGAACCCAGCCGATAAGCCCAGTCGGTGGCATCGGCGGGTTTGCACCAAGTTCCGCAATGCCGCGTAAACGCCTATTGGAGGCGGCGGAGCCAGGAGCTAGGGCGTTACAGAGACAAAGGCTAGGGACATTACGGGAACTCACTGTTCAACCAGCAACACGCAAAAGGTACACGAAAGCCACAGATGGTTTTCTCCAATTTCTCTCTCACGAGGGCCTAGAGCTCCCGCGAGACAAGGCCAGAATGGATCCGCTGGTCTGCGACTATAT